AGGGTCTGTGCTTACCTCGTGGTTAAAGTTGCTCATGATAACAACAAAGCCCTTGTGCTCTTCACCCAGAAGATGGTCTACCGGTACCTTGGCATCGTTGAACTCGACGAATGCGGTACCTGCCGTTGTGGAGTAGCTCGTCTTGATGAGCTTGGTCTCTACGGCCTCATCGCGTTCGATGAGTAGGACAGAGAAGCCCTTTTCCGTCTTGCAACCTGTAACGAAATAGTCGCAGAACATTCCGTTGGTGATCCACTTTTTGGTGCCTCGTACAATGTAATGCTTGCCGTCTGGGGTCAGAGTCGCAGTGGTCCTAATTCCAGCGACATCAGATCCAGCAAAAGCCTCGGTGATGGCTAGGCACATCTTCTTCTTGCCAGTCAACACCTCGTTTACCACGCGCGTCTTCAGCTCAGATTCAGGCATCCACTGCAAGACGGCTGTCAAGCTGATGGTCATACCAGCCATGTTGCCGTCTTGGAATCCACGAGCGTTTGCGCGCACACCTTCCTGTGCCTGGATAAGGTCATGGAGGTAGTCAAATTCCTCGCCCTTGACAACACCCATCAGGTTCTTGCCGTGGAGATGCTTTCCAGGCCCAAGACGCATGGCCAGCATGTCGTTCTTAGCCATCTTGTTGATCAACTCTTGGCTGATGTATGTACCATCCTTCTCCTTTTGTTGCGCCTCGGGTGTGACGTGTGTGTCGACAAACTTGCGGACCTCCTTTTGCAGTGCTCGGTGCGATTCCTTGAAGTAAGGGCTCTTGAACTGGGGTCGCAACCACAACGGCTCTGCGTATGGTACTGGGCTCAGATCGCCAGGCTTTCCGACGATGACTTCTGATTTCTCGCCCTCGATTGTGCCGATGCATAGCTCCTGGTACTTGTCCAAAACTTCTTGTCTGTGTAGATTGTAGAAAGCCGTCGTCGCATCTTGACCAGCTACCTGCTCGAGCACGACGGAGCCGCCAGGGTGGGCGTCGACGAAATCGCTGAGATCGTAGACTTTGTGGTCGATGATGCACCAGAGGTCCTCTGGTGTGTTGTGCGAAGCGACTGACTCGCGTGTGAGCGTGGCGTGAGGCATGTTGGCGGTAGTAGAAAGGGATACGACGGTTGGGCGAGGAAGGAGCGACGCGATGCACGGCAGAGAGGACGACTGGAGGAGTTTAGGATGAAAGGAGAACCGGCTACCAACACTGCACTACAATATGCGGGTCTCTAGACGTTTGGCCTCGGTCTACAACATGAGCTAGCCGTCTCCGCGTAGCACTCCGTCTTGTGTGGAGCTGGCGCAGAGAACATCTGGGGAAGATGCCGAGGCACGAGAGGTAATCATGTCTCCAACACCGCTGATTGGCTGTACGATACCCACGGCTTTCCAACGGCAACCACGAATTCTGATTTCTTCATGGCAAAGTCCTTGCTCCATTATTCGGCAAGTCATCTACAAACTTCTGCACATTGTCTCTAAGACAGTTCATTCTACAACATACCCCTTGATCGGATCTAGCATTGTAACCGTCTCACCCTCGCCGCAACCTGCGCTGTGCATAGTGGCCCATGATGTGTCGTCAGTATGGCTCGAAGTAATTGTATTCTTTTCTTTGTTCTAATCTCTCGACTCGCCTTCTGCATTCGAGTTCATCCCACGCCGAAAATCACGTTATCGAAAGAAGACATAGGTGGTGAAACGCAGCCATTTTGCTTCGAGAGAACTTTGATAAGCTATTGAGTGTCCGATCTAGCAAAAAGATGGCATGGAAGACAAGAAGAGCTAGGGTGACAGCAAGATCAGGAACCCACATGTTCCTGCTAATTTCTCGAGTAACATTGTAGGATTGCCAGCAGTAAAACTACTCGTGGCAGGTGTTACGCAGCGATCAAGCCGACTAAGTTCCCTTCGGTAGACCTTCAAGAACAATCGTCCTGTTGTTCGCAGCGGAAGGTCGCACGAGCTTCAACAGACGTATATTATCTCTACTATTCAGGAATACTTAAAAAAAAAAGAGAGAATGGAGAGTGTCTTGTTCTGTAGCGCCAAAGTCATCTGTCAAAATCCGAGAAGGAGCAGTCGATATAGCAAACAAGCCCCAATCCCGGCTACAGCTTTCATTTCCTACTTATATTCACCTGTTGTTCGCTCCGCACAATGTTATTACCTCAATAGGATTTCCCTCAGGAAGCGTGCCGGTGAAAGCAAGCCAATCATGTCGTGCCCCTCACTCTCATCTTTTCGAAGTGAAAAATGTTTGCCCCTCCATTCTACATCCCACTACACACCCCGCCATGCCCCTCGTTGCCTCAATAAGAGCGCTTGCTCTTCTGCCCCTCCAATAGTGCCGTAATCGACAACGTGTTGCTCAACTTTCCGGATCCAGTAACCTCCCGTAACGCTGCCAATGCTGTGCGGGTGAAGGTTGAACTTCCGCCAGTTTTTCAACACATGCGCACAAATACACTCTCAGAGTCGACTAAATTAGTTTCGCACGGCAGTAAAGAAGTATTTATATACAAGACTTTCTTAATCGATCCGTATGTGCGTCAAAGAGGCACGCATATTGCTTCTCGCATCATGGTGAGAGGTGTGATATTTGGGTATCTCTGAGATCTATATTGCAAACAAAAAATGTCTACATGTCTATTTTAAACCTTGAGCATCGTCTTGACGTCTTCGTCGAATCTTATAGTCATATGCACAATCTCTGTCGCTCGTGTACGCCTTAACACCCCTCCAGCTTCGCCAACGCCTTCCTCAACTCATCTTCTCTCTTCCCCAAAACAGGCAAACCTCTATCCACACAAGCCCTCTGAAGCTCCTCCTTCCCAAGACCTGCCCATCCGCCATCTCTGTTAATCAACCTATCGTCCGTGTTCAAGTACTCCAACTTCTTCCTAACATTGCGCTGTAAGAGGAACTTGGGTGCTGTCAGAGGTAGCAAGTCAAATATTGCGGGATAGCAGTCGAGTTGTGCTGCGGTAAGCGAGAGCTCGTAGAGCGTCATCTCGTTCCATCTCTTCGTGGTGACTGGCATGAGCAGTCCATTATTCGGTGGGGATACGGATGGCGCGTCAGAAGATGCGGTGCCAATAGGCGGGCGATCCCTGCTCATCAGTCGCATTGCATCTAGAGCGACCCTTCTTAACCGGTCTTGCCGCTTGTCCTCAAGTTTCCGTATCGCGCGTTGAACCTGCTGTGGTATTCTGCACGCCTCTGGAATTACAGGCGTAATGTACATGACGACAATCGGTAACCACTCTCCAAGTAACAAGACCAAAAGACCGAACGCCGGTAACCTCAACGTGTCCGATCTGCTTCTCCGCACAATCTGCCATTCCGCTCTTGTCAGAACCTCGCTTATGTCTTTGTTGGGTATTTGAGCAGCCTTTTGGCGCAGTGTCTTGGCGAATTTTGATGTTTGTCGGACATGTGAGATGCCCGTTTTATAGAAGGTGAGGTATGCGCGACCGGCGCGGTATAGCCACTTGACAAAGTTCTGGTCTGGTTTTCGTGCGGGAACGGATATTTCGGGGGCATAGGTAAAAGGCGGTGGGTTCAACTTCTCCTTCGCTCGCAGTGTTGGGACGGTTGTGGCCTTCGAAGTGGGAGTCTGCGCGGGAACGAGGGGGGAAGATTGAGATTTCCTTGGAGGTTGCGAAGGGTTTGTGACCTTAAGTGTGTTCGCATTGCTGGTTTTGGCAGGAGGTGGTGGCATGGCCCTGCCATATTCTGCCTTCTTTGCCGTCGACGCTGAAGATGAGGCATGCCGGCTCATCTGTGTCTCCCACCTCTTTTTCTGCCTCCCCCATTGTATGATATTCCGGGACCCATCATGCCATATCTGACAGCTCAATGCAGGCATTGTGGCCCGGGTGTGTATGCTTCGATGGCATTTCAGGTTTGCGAAGACAGTGTGAGATCGCGCTGGTATAGGAAACGTGGGAAACATTGGCCGTGGTTTCATTGTCGTGTGAAAAGCATGCACGCACTGGCAATACAGCAATACAGCAACAGAGCAAACGTTGGCTGACGGCTACTAGTGGTGACGTTTCTCATTCGTAGGGCAAGAAAAAACTGGGTCTAATCGTGCCGCGGGAGACACGCGCGATGTCATCACACCTCGCGTCAGCGCTAACTCGACTTGGTCAACCAATGATTGTTGTAGTAGATGCGTGACACAAGCTTGCTAATGGACTGGAGTTGTGCAGCTTTATTTGAGTGTTTGGTAATATCCCCCGTCTATGCCGTAATTGACGCTACACCATCTCGTTAACCCATTGCTTGCGCCTTGCTGATGCCAATATATACAAGAACGCGAAAGCGTTGCAAAACGCCAATTTGCCTCTAAGGGCTTGAAAGAGACTCCAAGCACATATGCATGGCATGATATTGTGCGCCCATGAACACCTCGCAGAACGCTATGTCAGATCAAATCAAAATAGGAAGCTACCATACACAGGAACTAAGGAAATTCGTAGAAGATACAAGGACCCGACCGTTACAGGCCAGATGATATGAAAGTAAGCAGAGCAAAACCTTGAATAGAAGGGGACAATGTGGTAGGGCCTCATCCAGAATTTACAACGCACGTTGACCCGGAAGGTAAGTCGTCGCCAGGGATTGTTTGAGTCGCGTGGGTTATGATGAGGTCGCCAGGAAATTGTCGCAAGGGTATTCCATAAGGTTGCTGCGCGGAACAAGGATGCGGGGGCCTTCGGGGTTCACCATTCAGGGCCAGGTGAATAGCATGGGTCCAACGGTTTACTGTGTTTTCGATGAGCTGGTTCGTGGGAGATACATGGCTACTTTTCAGGGGGATTTGGATGGATGGGCGCAGTCGGGTTTGGTTGGTTGGGATATACAACATGTCGATACATGTGCGGATGGAGTGGCATACAGGATATGGGTTATTGTAGCAATGTCGGGTTTATCTGGTGGTAACCTCCAAGACAGCCGTGCTTGATATCTAGGATTTTGGCTGTACGGAAATAGTTTACTCAGCGTTGATACTGAGCGAGCTGGGCCATGATTTCAGACATGTCTGGTGTGGGGCCAGCTTGAGTAGGTGTCTGTACTGGTGGAGCGGCGGCCTGGCTCTGGTTTGCGAATAGAGAAGCAAGTGCGGGGAACTGATTGCCCAGCTGCGCAAGATGTGGCTGAGCTGGGCCACTGAAACCAGGAGTCTGAACAGGACTAGGCACCTGGGCAAGCAGGCGTGCAAGATCGGCATTTAAGCCTTGATTCGGCGCGGGTTGCGCGTTTTGGGGTATGTTGTTGCCGGACATCGCACCGAGCAGCTGCGACAAGCTAGCACCGTCGAGGGATGCTATGAGATTAGAGATGTTGGGCTGAGTGGTTGGCAGAGACGGGAAGGGGTTATTCGGTTGAGGGAAGTGCGGTGGCAGAGTCTGACCGAAGCCGTACGAGGATGATGGCGGCAGAACCGGTCGCAGCTGGGTTTGTTTGGCATTGTTGACGAGAAGACCAGCCGTCGTGGGGTCAAGATCGGCGTATTCTAGGAACACGAGTCAGTAGTCACTCACATAAGGCATAGGCAATCATACCGTTGAACTGGACATTGTTGGCACCGCCACGTCGGTCGAAAATCTGGACACTGACCTTACCTTTGGTCAGGCCAGTAGTATCGAGCCTCACAATAGCTAGGACTCCTTCGAGGATTTGTCTGCGAACTACAGCTGGTTCAGGGAATCGACCACTCAGTATCAGGACGTTACTGCGTAAGTTTTGCGAGCGGAAAGTATCCTCGACGTAGCGAATGAAGTCACTACGACTGTGTTAGCGCCTGCTCTCACGCAGCGGATATTGAACATCAACCTACCGGGGAAGTCCCTCATTGAGCACAAGAATCTGGATATCAGGTACCTCGTGGGGCAATCGGCGTCGAAGATCCAATCCATCTTCTGTATAGTCGCGACGCGGAGATGGGCTTCTGTGTCTGCGTGGTGGTGTCCTGGACCTGCTACGATATCGCGCATCGAACCTGTCGCGGCTTCTATCTCGTGATCGTATGCCCCGAGGAGGAGCCCGTGGCGATGGCGATCGCATAGGTCGGTAATCATCCCGATCGCGAAAGCGTCGATCCCTCGGCGACATGGAGTTTGGATGCCCTACATAGCGATTATCCCTGGGCGCCGGCCCCGTCCCGCCCCTAGTATAATCCGGGGAACGCGAGCGTCGACGCGGTGTCGGATTCGGTGGTTCTATCTTTTTCGTGTTTCGCTGGGGCTTGGATATCTCGAGGTCTGTTCTCGTCAGTCAACTGTTACCTGGTCGTGTATTGAGGTGACTTGACATACGCATCTTCCTGCCACGCACTGCCTGTCCCTGTTCGGCATCCAGGGCCCTGCGACATGACTCCGAGTCAAGGAATTGAACGAAGCCATATGCCTGCTTGATCGATATCTGCGCGAGCCTGCCGTGGCGGTAGAACCGGTGAAAGATGTCGCGCTTGGTGACTTTTTCAGTGGGGAGGTTTCCTAAGAAAAGGTTAGGCGCATCCTTGGTGCCAAAACAATCCCATCTCACCAATGAAGAGACGCGAGCCCATGGGGAATTGGTCCCATTGCCCCTCCGTTACAAACTTCCTCTCTTGATCCAAAAATTCCTCATATCTTCTATTCACCTCGGGCGGCCACCTCTGATCCTCATCGTCGGGCGTTTCGCTGCGTTCGCCCGGCTGCTGCTGAGCATGGGCAGACGTTGTAGAGAAGTCCTGATTCTGCACATTCATTGGCTGAAAAGAGCCATTTCCTCTCTGCTGGGCATTGGGTGCTTGCTGACTCTGTGGATGATAGGATCTGATATCATCGTTGGGGTCATAGTTGGGGTGCGTAGCGGGCTTATCTTGGGTAGGCGGCCTCGCAGGGAGATTGGTGGCCGAGGGCAAGGACGAGGCATGGTGTTGTGTCTGCGGTGACTGGGCGGACACTTGTGCAGAAGCATATTGAGTCGAGGGCGCATTGTTGGCAGCAGGTGTCAGAGAATCCAACAGGGCTTGTACGTCAATATTGGAGCCAGTATGCGCTCCAGTCTGGTAGTGAGCGCCTTGGGTAGACTGGGCGGGCGCATGCTGAGCAGCATAGGCATTGTCATGGGAGTATGGGTACGCAGAATGAAGACCTTGACCAGACGCGTGCTGCGCGTCACTGGCCGAAGCAGCGCGCGACTGATGCTGTGAGGTGAAATTCTGCATTGAAGAGGTATCATGCGGCTGCGTACCCATGCTGCCACCAAAACCAGTCGACTGCGAGAAAGCACCCGGCGCATCATGTCCTCCACCCTGTACGCCTATAGTGTGGAAGTTGGCGGTCGCGGACTGGTCGGCGAAGTACGGCGTGGACGTGTTCGCGTTCGCGCTGGAGCTGTGCGCCTGCTGGGGGAAATGGGGAGCGGAAGGAGCTGCAGAGTCGGTGTTGCTGAGTGAGACATCATTATAGTTTGCATCCATGTGCTCTACAAGGATGGGAATGTTGGCGGGCGACGGGACGTTTTGCGGACGCGGGCTCTCCGGCGTCAGTGACTGGTGCCGTACGTGCTCAGCTTCTTGCGGTGGACTGGAGTTGGGTCTCATGTAGACTGCGGAGCCAGAGCGCAGAGCTGGCAGACAAGGCGTGGGTGAAGGGGAAGTCAACTCAAAGCATCTACGGAACGCACCGTCGCGACAAGGGCTGGAGAGCTGCAGCAGATTGAGCACTAGAAGAAGAAGCCGATGGCGGGGCTGGCTAGGTGCTATATGATGGTCGAGGTTAGATGGATGGGATGGCAGACGCGCGAAAGCCACAGGCACGGAAGCGAGAAGCGGGTCCCGTAAAAGTGGCAAGAGATGTTGGGTGCAGTCAGGCAAGGTGCAAGAGGGAATGTGGTGCAGCAGATGTTGGGACACGGCGCCGTGTCGACTCCGAGGATAGCCTGGAATCTCGAACTTCTCTGGTTAAGCTTTGCCCACGTGATGTGCTTTAGTGCCCTTCTAGCGTCCGTTATGTGGTTAAAATGGTCTTTCTGACCCTAGCCTGTGCACATGCCCGTTATAACATGATCTCATCTTGACAAAGTCCAACCCCCCGAGCAATTTGCGCGACCGGTGATGCTGCCTCGACGTCTTGTCTTCCATTCGCTCGTCCCGTTTCAGTCTCGAAGAAGTGCCAGCAGTGCCGCTGGCGACGAGCTTCGCGCTGCGCGCAACTGGCTCGCGAGCCTGGATGCAGAGACGATCCCTCTGCAGAGCATTGGCGAACTGAGCTTCAGCAGATCATCAGGCCCCGGTGGCCAGAACGTCAACAAGTATGACACACTACAATAAATTTCCAAACGTGCGCGCTATACTAAGAATGTGCACAAAGAGTCAATTCAAAAGCTACATTAAAAGTGCCTCTAGACGCCCTGCTGCACCATGTCCCTGCAGCTTTGCATGGCGAGATTAGACGTTCCCGCTACGTAGCTGCTAGGTCAAATACTATAATAGTGCAGGCCGACGACAGTCGAAAGCAGAGCGACAATGCTCAAAGTTGCTACAAGCGCTTATACGAAGCCATTGCCCAGGCTGGACAAGATGCTGTCCCCGCCGAGACGCCAGCAGCACAGGTGCAGCGTGTCAAACATCTGTATGTTTTCGTCCATTGCGACGGCCCTAGCGACGGCCCGAAAGCTGATAACACACCAGACAAAAGTCTGATAACGAGCGCCGCCTCAAGAGCAAGAAGCAGCAAAGCGCTAGGAAGACGTCGCGGCGAGGCCGGGGTGATGAGTGAAGCGGTCTGCGGGGAAGCGGCTTGCCACAGCATCATTGATCAGCTTGACGCGCAGGTGACGTGGTTCAACCGTTAAACGGTAGCACGTCTCACGATAGTGCGAGTATGGCCGTAGCGGTGTAGCTTATGGTGTTCGATCCGATAAGAGATAGGAAGAATACTTCATGCAGGGAGTGCTCGGTACAATTAGTGTCTGCTGACCAAGGTCTCTTGATCCTTCACGTTTCCATCGCCGACGACAAATTCTGGAGCGCTTCATTTGCAGGCCAGTACTTGACGCCCGTCTGCACCAACAACTCCGAATCGTCTCTCTTTCCCTGCTGTCGTAGCGATTCGGCCAGTCTAGCAACCTTATCGCCTTCACCATCTTCCATGGCCCGTACATACTTGCGTAGTGCTGCTCGCGATGCCTTCTGTAACGACGAATCGCTATCCGCAAGTAACCGGTGCAGAGATAACAGCCGTCGAACAGCGACTTCGGAAACCCTGACAGTTTCCGTAGGATGTTGCTGAATGGCGGAGCTTATCAAATCCAAGGCCCTGCTTAATGCAAGGGCGATCTCTGGGTCAGTAGGATCGCAGCCAAAGAGCATCATGCGGAACCTGCAGATAGCGGTCTCCACGGCTTGTGGAGAGTTATCTTGCAGGTAATCTAGCACGTGCTGCAAGATGCGTGGTATGCAGGCTAGCTGACTAAACTCGGCAAACATGTCGAAGAAGCTGTCGGCGAGTTTAGCCTTGCCCTGGAACTGCTTCATGGCGGAATCGAAGACTGCCAGTGGGATAGCGCCAGTGAGTACTGGTGCAGAGGCCAAGTTCTGCAGAGCTACCTCATCCACACCATCAGCCTGCTTCAAGCTGGGATTCACATCCTCGGCGGTCACCTCGGGGAGCGCAATCATGTCTTCGTCCCCGTCCTCATCTGTGCGCGACTTGCTTGTGCGATCGATGTCCAAACCGAGAATCTTCCTCCGACCAGCGATCTTGCCAACGTAGATAGTCTCGAGCTTCGCATATTCCAGCCACATGACCTCGGAGTTCTTGCAGAAGCGCAGCCCTCGCTGCATATAGCTCCGCGCATTGGTAATGTCCGCCTGTGTATCCATGAAGTAATTCGCCGCAAGGATCCATATGTCAGGCTTGGTAGGGTGGAGTCGAGCGACCGAGGTGAAGATGTCGTTCAGTCTCTTGTATGCCTTGTCCTTGCGCGCAAAGTCGATGTATTGCATCCATAGCACCAGGTCGCCCGGAAACTTGCGCGTTGCCCGATTGTAGAGAAAGTAGATTGCCCGCTGACCAGAGCCCTTGTACCGTACACCAAGTCGCTTTACTCGTTTGCGGCGCAGAGCATCGACACTCTTTTCGAATTCAATGTATCGCATGTAGTCCTCAGGGTGCGAGCCTCTGGCATTGATGATGTGTTCGAAGTCGGAACGTTTCTTCGCTATGGAGCCGATCTCTTCCTACATGTTGTTAGAAGACATGGCGTAGCGCGAAGATGTGCGCATCTTACCCGTGAGAAGATTTTCTTGCGCTCAAGCTCGTTCAGCTCCGTCGCCGACTGCTCGAGGTAGAAACGCGCCTTGTCACTCGGTCCGGCCATGTTTGCGCGTGTCCAGTGTTGCTGGCAAAGTTGAGATCAGAAAAGTTGACCGTGCCTTAGAAAAAAGTTAGGCTAACGCTGCTCCCGCCGATAGCGCCTTGGCTGCGGACCTCGGAAGCGCGAACCCTGGCCATGACAACTTCAGGAGGCTCGCGTGTCTGACGACTGCGAATCATCAATTCACGACGCTCTTTTGCTTCTTTCTTCTCTTCCAATGCTCGAGCGTCGCTGAGAGGCTACCTGCATCTTTTACAATGGTCAAAGACAAGGACGGCGACACCGTCGCTACGGTACGCGCGGGCAGACCTCACCCCCGAGAGCTCCGCATGCTCACAAGACGTAGTTCAATGGAAAATGGATATCATATTCGCATACCGCCATGGCCTACTGTATGTCCATGCAAGACTCCTGTGATTGGCTGTACTGACGACAAGCACAGGTGCCTTTGTCGGCGCCCTCGTAGTTGGAATGTACGCACTTGACTCTCTGCTACCCCACGACGCGACTGAACATCCATAGATGGCTACACTACCACAAGATCGTACAGAACGAGTTCTACGTTAGTTTCATGCTGCATGTCAGGCTTCAACTATACTGACAACATACCCAGGGCTACCCAGATGAATGGTTCCCATCCGTGTCCGCGACTATCGGCGACCGCTACCCAGAGCGTTCGGTGTTTATGCTCTTCATCGCCCTCACGTCCGGTATGGAACAAGACCCGACACATGGACGACTATACTGACATGTGTAGGCCCTCGATTTGCGCTCGTTGGCCTTTGGTACATCTTGACCCGCCGTCCTAACTCGTCCCTCCCCAAGTTCATCGCTGGCGTTGGTATCTTTCGGACCTTGACATGCGGGGGGTGGACATATGTGACCTCTACAGACGACCACGACTGGCACGACATTTTCATGATCTCATACCTTGTCGCGACCCTTCCTTGGACCTTGGGCTGTGTTGCTCTCAGCCCCAAGAACCCCACTGCTCTCAAGTACCGAAAAGTCCTCGCTGGCAGCTTTTTCGGAACTCTTGTGCCGTTGATATACTTCTTCATTCAACACAAGGTACATCGTGTTGCCGGAGGTATGTCATCTCACTGTACTGTCAATTCCTTGTTAATATGTTTCTAGCCTACACTATTTACGCTTTCTTCGAATGGGCACTGGTTCTGCTCGACGTAGGCTTTGATGCTGTCACCATGATCGAATTCCAACATTTGGAGATTGTCGTCAAGGATGTTCGAGGTGTTTCCCGCCTGTACGTTCCTCGTCTCCCAATATAGATAGACACTCATCAAGAATGTATACTTCTTACGATCACCTTCTGACAATATACCTCTTGTAGTGCGGGCTCCAAATCTACATCAGACAGCATCCAAGAGTAAGCTGTCATTTGCTTTCGGAATGCGAAGCGTTACTGACGTTTCCAGAAAAAACAAGGAAATGAGCGCGACCTTCTCAGGTGCCTTTGCCTGGTCCGGACTCATTTATGCTGCGGCAGATGTGTACAATGGAGTAAGTGACATGTCAAGATGCTACTAGACGCAACTGACTGGTTCACAGTTTGTCTTCTGGTCCATGCTGACTTCCCTTGGCGTCTGCGTCTGGTGTAAGTTCAACTCCAGCTTCATGATTGTAATGTCTTTGTTGATGACCTGTAGACTTCCCGCTTTGGCACATGGGTATCTCTGGTTATGAGGCCTTAGTCATGTGCACCATCACTCCCTTCTTCCTTGGCATCAAGCCCATACGCTACCTTGCCACTCGCTACGTCTGGTTCTTCCATTTGCTCTCACTCTCTGGGCTTCTTGCCTTTCTCGCAAAGACGCCTGTCAACCGACTCTTCGCTGTTGGTTTTGGTCTATCCATGTCGTGCCTCGCATGGTCTGCTACTTTCTTCGCCGAACGGTCCCAACCACATCGCCTCGAAGCACGCATCTCTGCTTTTGCTATCGGTCTAATAGCTTCTAGTATTGCCAAGTTTGCTTTTTGGACAAACAACCCAATCTGGCCAATTATGCATGAGGCGAACGGCGGATGGAACAGGACCGGTCTTGTAGTTGCCTTCGTATCGATGCTTATATCGACCAGATCTACCGCCAGCTCTGGTGCTGATGTGCCAGCTCAGGGCCCTACTAAAGGGTCGTCCGTCTTTGCGAGCTTCGGTTTGGCAGGAGTCATGTTCGCCATGCACTCGCTGCTCTCCGACTCGAGTACGATGATCTCTTGGGTATGGGAAGGCTACCCCGTTCGGGGTCCCCTGGCTGTTCCCCATGGCACTTTGACTTTGTTAGCTATGGGATTGGGTCTTACGATTGGGTTGTTCGCGCCAAACCTGTCAAGATCGTGGGCCTTCTACGGCGTAGGTTCAATTGGCGCTGCCGTTCTAACTACCACTAGTCACTGGTCTGGGTTCTATGGCGCCCTTGTTCTTGCTATGTACACCATGGCAGCAGCACCTATCCTGATTGCCCACGCGGCGCGCCACTCTCCAGGCCGGACGTTCGGACTCGGATTCTTGGTGTACAACTTCATGGTTCTCTTCCACGTCTGGGTTGTAGCCTACGCGTTCGTTCCTGGTGGCCCGCTCGTCCGCGAACATACAGACTGGGTCATGACAGCTATGATGCTCCAAATCGGTGCCGGCATCTTCAGTGTCTCTGCGCAACCGCCTGCACTTAAAAACTACAAGGGCAAAGCTGTCATTACTGCAGCCGCCGGTAGACAGCGGTCCTACTACTTGTACGTTCTCGGTGCTCTGGAGCTGATTGCCATCGCTACTGCCTACCTACGCTTCCCGTCATACGACTACACGCCCTACCACCCAGAAACCAAGTCCATCACTGCTGGTATCTGGACGATACACTTCTCCCTTGATAACGACATGTGGTCTTCTGAATACCGCATGCGTGACCTGATCAAAGAAATGGAAGTCGATGTCATAGGTCTCCTAGAAAGCGATCTCCAACGCATCATCATGGGCAACCGTGATACAACACAGTTCCTTGCCGAAGACCTAGGCATGTATGTCGATTTTGGTCCGGGCCCGAACAAGCATACATGGGGCTCAGCGCTCCTCTCCAAGTTCCCAATTGTAAACTCCACACACCATCTCCTCCCGTCGCCCGTTGGCGAACTCGCTCCTGCCATCGAAGCCACAATCGACGCCTACGGCGAGATGATCGATATTTTCGTCTTCCACTCGGGCCAGGAAGAGGACCCCGAGGATCGCCGCTTGCAGTCAGAATATCTAGCCGAACGCATGAAGGCTACGCCTCGCCCTGCCATCCTCTTGTCGTACTTGGTCATCAAACCTGGCGAGGGCAACTACAATACTTATGTGGGTGAGAAGAGTGGAATGAAGGATATCGATCCGTCAGACTGGGATAGGTGGTGCGAATACATTCTCTTCAAGGGGTTGAAAAGAAGTGGGTATGCGCGTGTTTCCAGGCATACCATTACGGATACCGAGTTGCAGGTAAGTCAATCCCTCTCTTCCCGTCTGTCGTACCAGAACGATGTGGTGCTAATGATGTTGATGCAGGCGGGCAAATTCGTCGTCGGCGAGCCGGAGAATGGAAACGAGCTTGTACATGAATCGCAGGTTCCTGCTGGCTTGAGATTCCCGGAACTGTTCAAGGGACACGGTGTCAGGGGACATAGGTATCACGTCTTCAATGAGCCCAGATACTATGCTTGAGCTGGAGGCATGGGCTGAACAGATTGGGAGGATCTGAAAATGGGGTTATTTAGAACAGACTTGTATTGTATGATAACAAGGAATGGGAAAATACAGTTGTAGTGTTGTTTCGTCGTCCATGTGAATTCTTGGATACTACTTGTTGTCCACTACCGATACAGCGCTTCATGTGCTGTTGCCCAGGAATACAGATGGCTCTACAAGAGCCATAACAGGACGCCCATACCCATGCATGCATTGCGCAAGTCTTTGCCACGCCCAATTCGTAAAACCCCAAATGCCGAACCCATACTTTTCGATCATTCCTTCATCCCTTTCATGATCGTCATCATCTCCCCGATTGTAACCTCCCCAGAAGCTGTTGGCTCTCCCTCCCATTGTAAAAACACAAATGCATTGGACAGAACATGCGTCATGCTCATTTCGCAACAGCCGCGCTAAGAACCTGTGTCCTGAAGAAGCCTCCCTTTGTCCTCTCGATGACTTGCTGGTAGACGGACTGTGGTGGGTGGTTCATGACAACCGTGCCGGCCTGGTAATCGATCTTTGCATCTACACGAGTGTCCCGGATAAGGTTGACAATCCACTTCTCACCCTCGTCTTGTGAAAGACCGAGACGAGTTGAGAGGTCCCTAATCATGTATTAGTGTGATGCCAAGGGCGGAGAAATGGACAATACTCACTTGATATCGATCCTCTGGTGGATCTTGCAGTAGCTCTCTGAGATGAGATGTCTCGCCGCATCTACGAACTGTTCCGCCGCACCCAACAAGAAGAAATCGTTCTTCAGAATCTCCTCAGTCTCGCTGAGTTTCTTCTGCGCCTCCTCGAAGTCAAAGTCGATGTACAGGGCCTTGATGAAGTCGGTGACGGGGTCACTATATTCGTAACCCTCCTGTCGTACGATCCTGATCAAATCCTTGAGCTGCTTCTGGTACTGGTTCGAGTTGCGACCACGGTTGCGGCCGGTAATTACGGCAGCAGAGAGGTAACGCAGAATCCAGGGGCAGTTTGTCTGGATGGTGTTGATGTATGCGGGGGAAAAGAACATGTCGGTGAGGGTTTCGCGCGAAGCTTCGTGGTTGAAGAGGGGGAAGAGCGACCAGTGGATCAACCAGGTGCGGTGCTGCAGCTGTGCGAGAGGGTTGTTGAAGAGGCGTGTGTCGATGATCTCCTTGAGCTTGTTGATCTCCTCCATGGCCGAGTCCCAGTTTACGGAGAGGATTTCGCAGGCGAGCTTGCCCCAGGTGGCTTCGCGCTCCTTGTCGCCGTCTGTGGTCTGTAATGAGACGGAGTCAGTAAGCAAACCAACTACAAGCGCGCGTTGGGCAGACGTACCAGAACCCTGAATCGGTAGAGCAGCTCAGCGGCGTGGGGGTATACACCGCACGAGTACTGGAACTGGCCAAACTCGAGCAACTGGTTGACCATGTCCATGTCAACACCATGGCTCTCCTTCAGGTATGCCAAGTTTTGCTGCTTGTCGCTCCTCAGGTTTGTAACGACGTTCTCGTCATCGAGTAGGCCGCTGATCTTGCTGGTCGCCTCATCGAGCTGGTCGCGCTTCTTCAGGACCTCGTCGCGCTTGGTCTTGAACTCGTCGGACATGTCGTCGAGGCCGTGGACTTCCTGGTGCAGCTGTCCGACGAAATCCGTCATGTTGGTGGGCTTGAGGAGTTCGAGGAGGAGCTTCTTCTGCTCGACGGTCTGGTCGGCTTCTTCATCGCTGGAGAAGTTGAGGAGCGGGTAGACGAGATGACGGTCGAGGTTGGGCATAAGCTTGGGGAGGAGCGAGTACTGTTCGGCGACGTTGGCGCCATTTGCCGCTGAGTCGGCCATGTTGGGTGGATGTCGCAGGTGTGTGGGTGCAACGTGGTGGGTGAGGTTGGTGGAGCGGGCGAGGCGCGAAATTCGTTATGTCGGCCGTGGCGGGGTGAAAAAACCCGCGACTGTGCGCAAGCGAGGTACCCTGTACGCTAAACTTGTGGTGTTGAGCCGCGAGCCATGGCAGCAGCCTGCACGTCACAACCAGGCTATTCGCTTCGTCTTCGCTGTCGCTGTGCTTGAACTGCTCCTTGCTGGAACAGCATGCCCCGATTCCAATCTCTGGTGCCGCTGCTGCGGCCATTGGCTGCCCCAAGAGCAGTCGCATGCCGACAGCACTTCCGCCTCTACACGGCCTCTTCCGAACACCCATCCACGCCCCAGGAAGCCCAGCGAGCCGCCGACCTTGCTGCCGCAGAGTCTCTGACCGAAGGCGACAGCGCGCAGCCGCCCCAACAGAAGCCCGTACTGCCCTCCAAGCATCCACGAGCCGACAACAAGCCAAGAAACAGCAAGAAGCCAAAGACATCGTCACAAGCACTGAAACTGTCTCTGCCACCGCCCAAGTACACAGTCTCGAGATCAGTCAACAAGAATCTGCCCATCTACACCGACTACAAGCGAGGAGGCAACTTGCACTTGACCACGGTACGCAAGATCACAGGAGACGTATCAGCGCTGAGGGATGAGCTGAGAGTCTTCTTGAACAAGAAGAACGAGGACGTCAAGATCAACAGCGTAACACAACATGTTGTTGTCAAGGGCCATCATACTAGCGAGATTGCAGAATTCTTGAAAGCCCGGGGCATGTAAACTCCCCAGGGAGAGAGATGTTTCACGGAAGAAAATGGGGCGCAGAACAGAGCATGGAAACGAGCGCATCTCTGCTGTAGCAAAACTTGTATCATATGGGAAAGAGTGCAGACGATTAACCTTGGATACCATCAGGCGTCAAGAAGCGACGAATGGGCATATTGTACACCACCATGACGGGTAGCATTGACTTCATAAAGTAATCACCCGAATTTCATTACTATTATAAGAAGCTTTAATCTGTACCTCCACATTACTGGTACAAGGCCTCCAGATTCCCCAGACACTTTGTCCTACGTAACTGCATTTCTGAGCTTTCATCAGCTCTCGTTCCGCTGATAGTCGTACTTGAACACTTCTTAGAATGGACATGCTAGCAAAACTTAGCTAGAGACCGTAGAATGGTTATGCACTGGATATCTTACCACGAACGTTGTCCTACTCTATCGGTGGACGGGGACAGACAATCCAGCACTTGTCGTCGTCACAACGTTCATGACAGGGTGGAGGTAATGTACCGCGCTTCTGGGCCCCCTCTCCTTTGGCTGATGGAACGCAGCGTGCATAGCACTGACCGAAGTAGCACTCCCAGCGGTATTTGAGAGAGGACAATCCCATAACGGCATTGGCATCGGCATCGGCATTGGCATCGGCGGAGCCGACAGCCGTTGTCGGAAGACAGACAGCCCAACACTGGCCAAACATGCATTCCCAGTGGCACTTGAGCCCGCGGTTAGCAAAGTCAGCCTTCCCAAAGTCGATGTTCTTATCTTCATTCTCATCGGCATCACAGACCATGCCGCAGAGCGATTCGTCCGTACTACACACCTCGCGACAGACCTTGGTTGGGATGTCCGGAATTTCCTCGATGCTGATTTCGCTCCCAGCTACAGCTTGAAGAACAGGGTCAGTCCAGCATATACCAGAGGTCCAGTCACAATGGTAGAGGAAATGGTTCTTTAGTTGCGCATGGCTCGAAGAGACGGAGATAGTGGTGTCGGTTTTCATATCGGCTTCGTCGATGACGAGCGCGCTATTGGCCCTGAGAGCTGCAACGGCGTCGTCGCCGATACACTGGCGCGTGCAGTATGTATGAATACAGACCCAGAAGCACCGCTTTGCTTCCTCGCGCTTCGTTACTGGAGCCATAGAAGTCGAAGAGCTCTCGGCAACGACATTGCCGGCAGTAGCAGAGTCGGAGCCATTGAGTTGCTGGTTAGCGCGGCAACTACTACGACATCGATAGCACTGCGGGATTGTCAGTTCATGTTCCGGTATACTCTAGGTTCAAAACCCACACACAAAGGTGGTACATCGTTAAATGAATGAACTTACGTCGGGATCTTTGCATCGCAATTGGAAGCATTGGTCCTCAGTGAGGCCAATTTCCTTACAGAACAGGTTGATGTATACACAGCGATAGCAGTTGACCTCAGTTGACACGTCGTTGGGGACATCGTCCGAAGTACTGGCTGGGATAGCGATTGAGACGTCGCTAGGGATAGTGGTCGGGACCGAGACACCCCCAGTAGTGGGAATTGCAATGGGTGAAGCCGTGGTTAAAACGGCCAGCAGGAAGAGCGCGAGAATCTTGAAGAGCTGGGGCGGAGTCATCTTGATGGTTGTGTCGCGGCTGCTTTGTGTGCGTCAAGGGAGGGCGGGGTGGGTGAACAAAGAAGATAGAAGTCGAAGGTAATAAGAGCAAGTACGGGCCGGAGCGGATCAAAGCAAACGGAGTGTACCTGATGAGGGAGGAGGTGAGAGTCTGGCGGAAGCAGGAGCGTGTTTGCACCCGGTTTCATACGCGAACGGCGGTCTAATACGGCGCGCAAGAAAATACTCCCTCGAGGTCGCACGCGAAAGTCGAAAGGCAGAAGTGAAAGTAAAAATGGAATATAAAGAAAATGATATGGATAGGAAGACGTTGGACAGGACATACGTACATGATAGGCAGAGTATAATCGGTGGCAACATCCTTTGCACTTTGTTACCATCCGATCGAAGCATCATCATCATAAGAACCGTCGAGAGCTCACAAGAGTTCTTGCACAGGAGGTATGCTTTGGATGCATAGTGCTTCATTGATGTTGAATGTTGTCATTGAATAGCTCCATAACGCTGCGACGTAGATATGGAAGTTGCGTGGGTGCCGACGGTACTAAACTTCCGTTGTTGGCTTTTATTGGCGATCAAGTGATCACATGCACACTGGCTGGTCCTTGGAAGTCTCGACCATGACACTGGTGCAGACAGCGATCTGTACGGGAACAGTATAGTCTGACTTACAATCGCGGATTAAAATCGCATGGCGACCGTGTTTTCATGCTTATATCACACATGTTGGTGCCTGTACAAAGGAGAAATGCACACAAACCGACGCGAAAAAACTCGTCTGAGGCGCAAAAGTGCACACTTTAAGCTTTGCAGGCCTATTTTCATGAATCACCAAGTGTCATAGCATCCATATCTCATTTACTCAAGTACATCCGCTCCTGAGCAGCTGTACCCTTCTGTGGTTTTGATGGACCGACGTTGAATTTACATTTAGGCTATGATCAACCATACCTACTTGAGCTGGTCCGACACTCTGGATCCTTGTGACAATAGGCCCAGGAAGGAATCCCCACTGGTAAGCCACAGGGTAGCACTTAGCGCGAGGCAGTGGTAGGACCGACTGTTCCGCGGAGCGCGCTTTCGCTGGACCAATCTCGCTCCCATTTATTTATCTTGGTCTGTCGCATGCCAGGTATCTTGAGACCCTTACGGATATAACGTTCGCGTATCTGTCGATCGTGTAGGGCTGTCCAGTTGGTAGCTCAGAAATGCCATCATGGTCCATGCGGTTTCGCTAAACCCGATCTTGCAGAGACAATCCGATCCCACCGCACCCGTGTATTGTCGACTGCCGTGTGATCGATGCGCTGCATGAAGCCTTGCTTCGACGTGCAGCTCGCTCCAAATCTCTAGTATCATATGGCCATTTTTAAATTCTTGAGTCAGCCAGTGACGCAGGTAGTTTTTTGCGTTGATCTTGACTTTGGCTCACAGAAACGCTTTTCCAGAGAGATCCTGGGTTTGCCTTCTTGTGTTCGTCTCGGCCAAACGTGTCGGTACGAGACCGTTGGCGTGGAGTTGCCGCCATTCATAGGTCACGTCACGGATCATGGTCCGGTCATGAATAATTCTATGTCCGAAGATAATAGCCGACGAAGCCTACCAGTATGACTCTTGCATAATGTGCCTTATTGTATTGTATGCTAATACCTTTTATGTTACGAAGCACACCTTTAAACCCGAATTCGTGGTATAGATTGAACATTAATGCTGCCAGTCCATTGTGGTATCGTACGCAAACCGGATTTCATGAATTCATGTAACCGAGATAAGCCACCCTCAAGACGTAGGTTAGCTGTGTCGTAGGGCATGTATATCGCTTTCTGATAACTGGCGACGGTAATTCTGACTACAAAATCCTAAAGCTTTTATGAATATCGTTGTAACTAATTCGAGAAGCAACACGCGTAGGGATCGCACTATCAAAACTCGCGGGCTATACGTATGCCTAGTAAGAACTCGGTGGGATACAACATTGGGTAAATTCGACAGGTCCCCAAGCTGGCCACACGGCGTTGCAACAGCAGATGTTCCACTTCATGCTTCGTGTGGAAATGATATCTCTATGAGTGTCTTGGCTCCCAGGCTCTGTTTGTTGCGGCTCAGAAAGGTCTAGATACAAAGTAAATACACAGATCTTAGAAGGCGATCTTGAGTGCTCAACAGTTCTGCGTCTCTGAAAAGCGATGCACCCGCGCTTCGGACAGGTTCAGCACCGGAGAATGCACCTAGTCCTAGTCTGCAGGGTCTACGCTTGAGGATGCTGCTGGGAAATCGCACGCTCTCACTGCGTTCAGAAGTGTTCCAGGGCGACCCTCTCTACGCGGATCTGGTTGTTTTCTCTCGGAATCTCAGCGGCGGTGACGGCGTGCGACTTTCGGTGTTCGTAGGTACGGCTAGGGAGGCCAGCGGGCTGAAGGTGTGGATAGTCTCGGTTAGGATGAATTCGCGTGGTAAGGGTGCTCATGAGCGCATGCGTGGACGACGGAACCGCAAACGCGTAAACAACTGTCGCCTGGTGAGGGTGCGAAGTTCTAACTCCCAAATTCGAGACGAGATCCGGACTTTGCTGATCAGAGCAACTCTTGGCGACAAAATCGAGAGAAGCAGATCAACCTCTTCAATGTAGAGACAATCTATCCCTGTACATTGGACGTTTCTGAACACATTTCAAGTACACCACTTGTGTGATATGGATAGTCCACTTGTGTGAGGCCATCTTAAAGGTCGCTTTACGACCTGCTGGGACCTCGATACGAATCAGTGTTTTTGGATTAGGAGCATTTTGGCGGCCGTTTGGCGAAACATTTGACCGACAGATTGGGAGAACTGAATTGAACCTCAGAACATCTGGGCAAACGCGCTCTTGTTCAGCAGTTTAGCAGGCAATCTAGACAGCTGGTGCATAGCAAACTGCTAGCAACCTACAGCTACTTACCTAAGCATCTAGAGAGCATTTGGGATCCGAGCGTCCCTCTTTTGCTGCCTCTGACTGGCTGCGGGATCTTGTCCCGCTCTTCAACCTTCACCAAGCAAGGGTCACCAACATCGAGCGGACTGACGGCAGTATCGAAGATCGGCCGCACCTGACAGCATTGATCGAGATGAGCATAGGCTCTGCATGAATACCGTATGTTCAGCACACAGTCTAGTCTAAGAGAACAGAGTGACGTTGCACCTCAATCTAGCCAACACCACAGACATACCGGGCATCGAGCGTTCTCAACAGGTGAGTTATAGGCTCAACTCCTTTTTCACCGCGTCAGAGAATAAGGCATATGTCCTGGCGAATTGGCAAATGACTAATGTTATCGAGACTACGTTAGAGCTGGCCAGCCTTTTGCCCCGTAGCATATCTAGCTCGCACCTGCCTCGCTTCCACGTGTGACGTGCCTTGCTTGATCGTTCTTAGTTCCTATCGAACATTGCCGACGAGATCCTACAGATGCCACTGCTTCGGTAAAGTCAACGCGCAAATCCAAGAAGTCGTCAGAAGGGTTCCCAAGAGGATAGGTTAACCGATTGCATAGTTTTGGTACGCACTTCCAATGCTGGCTATCCTGTCAATTCATGGCGAGCGCTATCGTGAGGCACAGGGCACAAACCAGGGCACCAGCTAATACGACGACAGATACATTTCGATTCGAACGTTAGATTCGAATTCCTATATATGGGGTAATCTCCGGTACCCAACCAACATGTAAAACATATTACTGACTTTATACAGTAAATTCCGCTCCAGGAACGGCTGGTAAGTGGATCCATGAGGTTGCGGCGACAAATTCCGCTGATCTGCATAAGCCTTACCTGTCGAGCGCGCCGCGTTGAGTGTGAGTATTCTATTGCAGAGCGCTCCTTCCCATACTGATCCTGCACGCAGGCGACGAAACCCGTCCAGTATGCAAAGCCTGCGGCAAGAAAAATCGTCCTTGCCAGTGGGAAGAGCCACATACCAAGTTCAAGGATTACCGGCCTGATGGACCCTCATCAAGTCGATCTGCTGCTGCTGGCACCGATGACGAAACCGAGAGTAAGAGTGACATGATGGAAGTTGACGGTATCGAAGGAGTCGATGGCATTGGTAGAGGAGATGAAGCCGTTCGCACAAACAGTTTCAGCGAGGAGAGCTTCAGCCGGAACACTTCACCGAGACGACGGAAAAACAGTCGGACCGACGGAGTATCGGAGGGCCAATCTACCAGCGTTTCCTCACCGTCGGCTCACTTATCCCCAGGCTCACCATACTTTGTTCCCAGGTCCAAGAGTACACCGGGTGGTGTGTCGGTGGCGAGTCTGCTGCAGTCGCCCGACCCGGACGGCATGTCAGAGGGCTCGCTGCCGATGCATACCCGTCAGGCAATGCAGCAGGCACATTCCCACTCGCACAACCGAAGGGATATGCCAGAGGGGACGAGAAACTATTCACCTCAGCATGTTTCTTTGACACATGAAGAAGCCCTGCTGGTGCATCACTATACCGAACATCTTGGTCGTTGGCTAGACTGCACAGACGCCACACGTCAGTTTACACTGGGCGTGCCGGAGAAGATCAAACAATGCCCGGTGCTTTGCCACGCTGTCATGTCCTTTGCGGCTCGCCACTGCAGAAAGGACGCAACAGCTGAAGCAGCCTACCAGCGCTGCATTGCCCTGCTCATCGAACGATTGAACGAGCAAGCGGCTAGCCACGATGAAACTCTTTTGTGTGCTATCGTCATACTGCGTTTCTATGAGCAGCTGAACGGTAGGTGCTGCTATATCCTTTGTGCTTTTCCTGTCTAATATGTACCTCTAGTGCCGTCCAGCACTGGTTCTGATGATGAACAGCATCTCGCAGGCTGCTCAGCCATTATTCGATCATCCCAAGGAAATCACTACGTAGATCCATCAGCACCTACATTGCGCGAAGCTGCTTTTTGGGTTTACGTACGCCAGTGCCTCTACAATGCCACCATCAACCAGCAGCCACCTGATATCGACTTCTCATTACGGTTGCACCCAACCCCAGGCTCCCTACGAGATGCACACCCGCTGGCACGATTAAGATTGGAGACCGCTTGGGCGAACCAAATGACATGGAATCTTGCATGTGTTGTAAATTTCTGCTTCGATGGCAAAGAACCACAGAACGAGAAAACTTACAAGATGCGACGATGGAAAGAGCTATGGGACCTTGTCCAAACGTGGATGCGTGACAGACCCCACGGTTTTAATGCGATCTTTGAAGGTCCAGCCGGCGACCAGGGCTCGTTTCCTGAGATCTTGTTCACTGCCGACTGGCACAGTAAGTCCTGTATCCATCCCGAGGTCCATTCTTGCGCTGATGCTCACAAACTTATCAGCTGTGTCGTTTGGATTCTACCACTTTGCCTGCATTATGCTGTTGCGTTACAAGCCAGGCCCGAAGTTTGCAATCCGCAATGTTGGGAGCCTTTCTGAAACGGATGTAAGGACCCCAGCCACCAAGAAGAACATCTATTTACTCATCCAAACAGCATCAAATCTTATCGCATGCACGCGCCATCTGCGGAGCCTGTAATAGTTCGCCGGAAACTGTTCCATTGGCGATTACCGTCTGCCATACCATCTTCATATGGGGACCTCTTGTATGCGACCCGAAAGAAAGAGACCAGGTAGTACAGCTCCTGAGTGACTTCGAGAAAAACCATGTGTGGCCGACAACCTGGATCAGCAACGCGTTGAAAGCTGAATGGGGTATCCCTGGCTCGTCCACCTCTCCAGCTTAACACCGTGGAGCTCAGTCTTGAGTCGTCATTGACCATTTGCCCGTAGATACTGCGGTTAAGGCAGTCGCTAGTACCAAGTAAAGTCTACCCTTCATGGTGAATCCATAACCTCACCCAAAAGCAACCATCAAAGCAGGTGCTGGAGGTTATGCAAGATACCCGACGTAAGGAGTGAGGTGCTCCAGTATCTGGCAGCCAGTACCATCGTGCTTTGTACCATAAACATACCATTAACAAAACTAGCCGCTCACTACTGTGACCAGATCCATATATCCATCCCCCTTTCTTATTAAGCTCAATACGGGTATCTCATTCCCTTTTACGACACCAAGGATGTGGCTATAGCTCCAGACATATCAGTTGTCAGACTAAATTCGTGTTTTGATATGCTCCACATCTCGCGACCCAATTGTTCGGGTAATCGTTCCGAGTGTATCATGTAATACCAAGGCTAGGGCCTCTTCCCATTCGAAGAGCTATTGTATATTGTAGGAAGAACCGAATGCTCTGGTGTGCTCATGTCCGCTTAGTCTGCAATTATGCATGTTGTATGACCCAACCGTCTACTCAATACGATATATAGTCCTTATGTGCACGTTGAATCCAGATAGCTTGGCATCTTGACAAAACGCAAGCTCCTAGGTCTGCTCCGGTTTTCGGTCAAATAGACCGAGAGTGGTCTGAGCTGTACGCGTGTAGCCGTGACTGGTGACTGTAGGAGTGGTAGGCCTGTCAACCACGTAGTTTGTAAGCCCTGTATGATGCGGTTGTTCCATTTCATAGTCATGAGCATATCTAGTTTCTCCGTTCGTGATGATTCCAATGTTGCTGACATCTGCTGTATGTCGAGACACTTGCTGAAGTCTGATCGAAAGCTCTTTGCGCAATGCAACATATATCAGGTTTTATTTTCATATGGTTGAGCTTGGAGACACACAAGAAGCTCGCTACTAATATCAGTTCACCGCCAGAACCGCTGGTGAGGCGCGCAATACTGAAGCAACGAAGTTTTTCCCAACATCATTCTGACCTTCTCTGTGTCCCCAGAGAGAAGTACCAATGTACGACAGACCATCTGCTCATTGCTTGACCTCGGAGGCTTTCTGAGTGCCACGACCGCAATAGATACGTTTGTTTCCCAATGCCACGTCCACCGACGCACTCAATCCGTAGCCAACCGCCAGGAGAAAGTACCGCTGATGCGCTCTCCTTGTGCAGTCTCCTGTGTATTTTCCAATTGCGGACGTACTGATGAATTTTCATGGGAACTACTGTCGAGCAGCTACGTCACTTTTGACAACCGGGAGTTTGTTCCGGTCCACTGTCCCCTTTCGCGTAAGTCGTAACGAAGTGCAAGTCACGTCACATGACTCTCAGTACAGCGAGACCTCACAGGGTTCGTTGGGTCTTGCATAGCGTTCTTAGCTATCTCCCCCCACCCCCACAGCTTACCTTCAGCATGCATCTTCCTATGCAACGTGCCCTATGGGGCTATAGCCCGAACCACCTCTGGCGAAGGCTCAGTTATACGCCACTGGACAGGTATCACCTCCACGACTCAAGTGATTATCGCCTCCGGACTTAGGGCATTAAAGTGCGTTCCTTGATCGAATAGCATTCAAGCCTAGCATGCACCGCAACGACTCGGTAACAGACTATGACAGCCTACACATTGATATGAAAGAGACAATGAGTTCCCAATCTGTATTGGACCTCCGGGTACTGGGCGTCTGTTGCGGAAGCGGGCTGAACCAGCTCAACTTCGCGCTGGTCCGGTACCGTCAGTCCTCACCTGACGCTACATTGCGTCTAGAGCTCGTCCAAGTTAGTGCTGTCGACACTGTACTTCTCTGAATGCTGATCAACGACAGAGCGGCTCGGTGCCTACATCGCCTCCTGTTCGGAACCATATCCTTACCTCCCTCCACGAAGCAGAACGCGAGTCCTCGCCAGTGGCATGCGCCAACGCGCTACTCGGTTACCTATTTTCCAACGGCATTAGGAGCTTCTGCGAAAAGCACGACATACCGCTTACGTCCATTGACCTGGTCGGCACACACGCGTCAGGTCTAAGACGACCTGGCGTGCCCGAAAGCAACGATTTGAACACGCATCCACTAGGATGGAACGCCAATGTCAGCGCTGAGACTGGCATCAATACCGTGTTTGATCTTACAGTCGTTGAAGCCGGTCTCGTAAGGCCTCACATATCCCCTATCGCTTACGTTGATAGACTCTTCTTGAGACACGCGTCTAAATTTCGCGCATGTCTGAATATTGGCGAGCTCGTGAATTGCAGCTTCATCCCTCCTCTATCAGACGGGAGTGCTCGAGAAACATGTTGTCGCGACTGCGGACCCGGAAGTCTATTCATCGACTACGCCATGAAATATTGCACCTCAAACGACCGAAACGAAGACAATAACGGAACATTTGCGACGACAGGGAAGCCTCACGAAGGCGTTGTGACACAATTTCTTGAGACATACGACTACTCACGCATCCTGCCTTCGCTCAGCGTAGCCAGGGAAATGTTCGGCGATCACGAAGCACAAAGACTCATCGATGAGTGTGTCTTCTTGGAACTCTCTGAAGCAGACATCGTTGCTACTGTTACACGCGTAACGGCTGAGAACATTCTGAGGCAGTACCGCAGACTCCTTGCGCTCAGTTTTCCTGCTGGTCAGAACGTCGACGAACTGTTTATTAGTGGGCCGAGCGCGCGCAACGCGAATATCATAGATTACCTCGAAGCGGAGCTCCCCGAGAGCGTGATAACGAAGCCTCTCGACGATATAGGCATACCGGGTGACGCAAACGAGGCCGTATGTTATGCGCACCTTGCGCTGGAAGCTGTGCTTGGACAGCCTGTACGCTACTCTGCAGAATTATCACGGTCTTGGAGCCAGCCGGGCCATGACGTTGTACTGGGGAGAGTTGTGCGGGGCGAGAATTGGGAAAACCTCACCACTTGGCTGCAGAAGTTTGCTGGTGGGAAGCCACGACGCCTCGCCAAAACCGTGAGGATAGTTGGTAGCGTCGAATCTGGCATAAAAGACCTCGGGCTATGACGACAGAACACGAGTGGAATTTTATATTGAAGACGATAAGGGGGTTGGGAAGGTCGAGAAGTGAAGGGAGGCAGTACTGCGCTTAATTTTGGGGCAGACCCACCAGGGCAGCTTTGCCTTTTCTTTCGCGGAGTTCTGCCAAGGAAGACTACTTACGTTATGGAGAGTTACGAAGCTCAAAATACAGCAGGGAAGGTTAGTAAAAAGAGCAATGTGAGCGCATTCGCTCTAAATGTTCAGTCAAGCCGCATATCCATGTTCGTCAGGTTCCGCTCTTGCAACGAAGCCTTTATCTTAAATAAGTTACTTTCACAGAGCATCGGTGTGTTGTGTGATGCCTACATCATTCTGAGAAAAAGGCTGTTTCCGAGCTTCAAGCTCTTTGTCAAAACGCCCTGGCAGACGCGGGGACTGCTTATCCGAAGACCCTGGATCACACGCCCAAACCTCGCAACAACTGCTTCATTGTATCGTATCTCCAATCCCATCCTCTCGTCCTGAGTAATATTGTTCCCCCAGAAGGGCCAAAACCTTTACACCAAATCTCCTGATTTATGGCAATCTACTTTGGCACATTCCTGTATACACTTTTGGAGCCAATCAAGAGGCATACAACCCGTTTTAATCTCCTACAACCGATGCATCTTACCGGCTTTCAACACTATCGAAGAACAACTAAGCTGCAGTTTCCCGTTCTCCGCAACATCGTCATCATTGTTATACAGTACGTATTTATATCAAGATGTCATCCTTTTTTATTTATTGAGTAAGTATGATAGCAAACAATAGTACTACGTGTACGCCTTATGTGCATGTCGTACAGCATGCGCTTCGCAACGAGAAGCCGCCTGTTGTGTATGACGAGACTACGCCTCGAACGCACGATCTTTCGATCGATTGTAAGATACGTGCGCCTACCACGATCAACAAAACTCCGGACTTTAAATATAAAAAGGAAGCGATGAGGCCATATACCGCATTTCTAGGTCGCGATGATAGATTGACAGAACTCGATAGATCGCAGAGTCAATACGGAGAATTAGCGGCACGAGGCTGACGACTGCGTGCATATGTGCAAACATGTTTATAAACTCATTCATATCAATTGTTCGCTCATCATTCGAGGCATTTAATCTAGACGATACGAAGCTGTCGTTACAACCCCTCTTAGGGAACTACAGTCACGGTCTCGTCTTGCTTGCCTTCCACAATATCGCGCATGATGCGAGCCTTTTGTTGCTCTTCCGCCTCGCTGCTGACATCTTTGAACACCTGGTCCATTTCCTCAAGTGTTTTGCCAGAGGTTTCCGGCACAACGAAAAATGTGAAAACGAAGGCGAGCAGACAGAAGACGGCGAAAAAGGTGTAGGCTCCGAAGCCAGTGTTTTGGATGAGAGGCGGAGTTATAAGACCCTGGTACGTGTCAGTCGCGGCTTATATCAGTCATAGAGGAAGTGTGGACCTACGATGATGAAGTTGTTGAACCAGTTCGAACACGTTGAGAGTGCGACACCCTTCGCCCTCAACGAAGACGGGAAAATCTCTGAGGGCATAGCCCATGGGACTGGTCCCCAAGTAGCTCCGAAGCTGAACATGAAGAAGAATAGGAAGGCGACAGCAACCCAGCCTTCCACTGCGTAGTCCAGCCATCGGCCACCAAACTTGCCAACCAAGACGGCGATGATGAGATGGCAGATGAACATGAGAGCAGCACCCACAAGGAGCAACGGTCGGCGTCCAAAGCGATCCATAGTCCACAGACTTGTTACAACACCAACGAGCTGCGTGCAGTTGATGATGCCAGAAAGCAGAAGCTGCATTTCGTAGTCCTGGCCTAGTGTTTCGAAGAGAGAGGGCGAGTAGTAGATGAGAGCGTTGATGCCTATTATTGTTAGTTGTTTCCTTGCTGGAGCTAACGGGGTACATACCAACAAATTGCTGAAAGAACATGATGCCCACTCCAACGACAGTGCGCTTCCAACACCCATGCCTGAAGCAGTCAAGCCAAGATTGCACCTCAAGCTTAAACTCATTCTTGCGGGTTTTGGCCTGCAGTTCGGGATGCCTCTGAACGCTGACTTCATGATTGAAAGTGACCTCAGCACGGATCTCACACCATTCTTGAAAGATACGCGGGTCATCGGTAGGGAGCTTACGAAGCTTGCCTAGTACGACTAGCGCCTCCTCGTCGCGTCCTTTGCTAGCGAGCCATCGTGGAGAGAACGGCAGGAAGACAATGCCAACACCCAGAACAAGGCCTGGAATCATCTGGATGAGAAACGGAAGACGCCATGACCACTCGCCGGTCATGAAGCGCGTACCATAGGTTGTCCAGAAAGCGATTACGATGCCGAGAACAATGCTGAACTCCTGCAAAACAAGGAGAGCACCGCGAATCTCGGGAGGTGCGATTTCGGAAATGTAGAGTGGAGCGATAGTTGCAAGACTACACGTAATTAGTATACATCTCTTATACAAAGATGGCTGAACTTACGCTCCGATTCCCCACCCACCGATCAAACGTCCAACTGTCTACAGAAAGTCAGTCTAAGTCTCAAATCTAGTTCGTATAGTTACAACTTACCAACATCGCGTAGTCCATTGCTGCTGTCTGCAAAATACTTCCAATGGTAAATATGATGACTGCAACGACAATAGAGTACTTCCTGGATAGCTTGTCTGCGATCCAACCAGCAAAGAGAGCACCAATCAAGGCGCCCAGCTCGAGCATAGCAGTCATCAACCCCTTCCAGAAGCCGGCTCCTGATGCTTCACTCGAGACACGTGGGAATCGGCCAAGGAACTGATCCATGACAAGGGTCACCGAAATAACACCTTGATCGTATCCAAAGAGAAGACCGCCGATCGTAGCGAAAGCTGCACACATGGCAACGTATGGGTTGGAGAAGAGTCCACGGAAGCCTATCGTTGGAGTTAGTTTCCATGTATATTCCACTTATGAATCAAACTCTGGTAGTTCACAATGCATACCTGCTGGTCCATAGGGCTCCCTGGTTACCATTCCTTGCTTGCTGGAGTAAGGAGGCATCGACTCGCGCTGCTCATAAGGCGCGCTTTTGATCGAATCTTGTTCACCCATGATGTCGTTCAGTGGTGTGGTTTGTGACGCGCTGAAGCCGCCTATTGTAGTGAATGGCTTTGCCTGGAGGATGCAGTGAATGAGGGGAGGCAATCGACAGCTTTATGCACTTTCGATATCTCGCTTGATGCCGCGTCAATTCTTGTCCGGTGGGCCCACACCATGTACAGTATCTGCCAACGCTAGTGCCAGGCGTATGACTGCCGTTAGGCGCACATCCGACTATTTCCTGGAGCAAATGCCAAGACGAACGGGTTGAATGCCAGGTATAGACAGCGGCCAGCGTTTCCTCAAGTGAACGTACATTAGCTGTGTTTGATAACTACCGCTTGGGAGCTTCTGTCAGTTGATTCTTGTGTGGCTTGGGATCTTGCCGCGTTGTGCGCGTGTGGGGGTCCTGCTGTTGAGGCAACGCCGCTTGGGTCAAAACGTTCGCTCGAAGTTTCTGTGGGACCCTTGCGTCCGAGACTGGCCGAGCGGCTCTGCTACAGATCGTGTGAATCAGTAGTGAAAGCTCGATGAATATCTGGATCTTAATCTTGCTCTCCTGAGGTCAGGTCGCGTGTCATTGACCTGCGGAATCTGTTTCTGAGAGGCTGAAATGACTCCGCAAGCATTCTGACCCCTGTCGCCGTCGTCATAAGCACATCTCCGCATCTTCAAAGGCCGCGGTGACTGTATGGGGTGCTCGGAGACCCCAGAAAACGCGCATGGGCGTGTCAGTACTACCCCAGATTCCCCATAGTTAGGTTCGCGTCGTTCCGCGCGGTGCTGTCGTCCAGTTGGGTAAACGTCTTTTCAAAGCAGACCATCTTGAGGGAAAAACTGCCGGGGAAAGTGGAGGTCGCGGCGGGAATTTCTGAAGAGGTCGAGACAGGCAAGCGCTAGCAGCTACACTAACCCAGATCAGCGTCGGAAGGAAAGAGTCGCCGATAAAGCGGGTCGCACTACTGATTTACAGTAATGTCCACCGCCGACTTGGTTTCCTTCCGATATTCTGCTATAACACCGAACAACGTCACTATCTCTTATGATCACTCATCAACCCAGTTTCACTGCAGCTGGAAAAGGTGGGGTCCCCACAAACCCCCCTCCTTCATCGTCTGGGGAAACTACGGCGACGGTGACGGCGACTATAAGTTTAAAGTTTCCTTCGAGGCTGCACAGCGGAAGCGGAATGAGCCTTTTGACACCTGGCTTCTATAAACAAGGGTCCATTGCATGTCCCGCATACCTGGGAGGTTCGGTTCAGGCATGTCATACGGTTTGTGTATTCTGATATTCTCTTCGCGGAATCGAGAACTTTTGACCAGAGGCAGTGCGAATACACGGAAGGTCTACCTGTTGTACGCTTTATATGATCAAACTATCTTGACAAGGTTGCGCTAATCTACGAAAACGTATTTGCTGTATCCTCCCCGATACAAACCTACGTTCGATCTTGTCTTATGATGCTATAGTATCGCCACCCCTACTACGAGATTATCGACATTGTGAAAGTCCATATCCCTACCGGCTCCCTAGTTCACCGTTCATACATGATAAACACTTGGATTTTCCAGACGTTCCCACCAATTTCTACTTCTGGTCTCTCTCGGCTTATTCAACGCTTGGAAAACATCCTCATCAAACCTCGGCCGGTAGCTCCCTAAGACTGACGTTCACGACGTCGGTCGATTGCGAGCAATGCGCATACATATCTACCAATAATCTACGCATAGGCGATGTGTGCTTCGTAAATTTGTACGTGTACTGGACAATTAAGCTCATCTTGAGACGCCGAACACGACTGTGAGCACCAACGAGAGCATCCATGACGTCGTTCATCCAACACTTGTCGTCAATATGCTCGCCAAAGACATAGGCGCGGGCTAGAAATTGGAAGGCAAAATTGATGTTGGGGTGAGTACCTCGGACAAGAGAATAGACGGTACGAATTATGCCGTCTTTGAGCCACCATGTGTACTCTTTGATGACTTCGAGGGAGAACTGTGCGCCACTAAAATTGACGTACCATCCGAAATTGCGTACAAAATATGTGCGAGGGTCTTCTTTCGCGTTCAAAGTAAAGTAGGCGGTGTTGGTCGCGAGAATGTGTTCGTGGTTAGATACAAATGCTCGAGCGTTATTGTTTACGATTAAGTTGAAAAAACGACCAGCAGTGCTAGGTGATATTAGTGGATGACTCCTGATGACTGTAATAGGGATCTTACGCTAATAATGCCTGAGGCCGTAGTATAGGCGAAGGCTGTATTGTAGCAGGAGGTACTGTACTCGATTGAACTCGATTGGATACTATTTGTGGGTTTACAAATTCAGTATACGTCTCAAGTGCAATTCATACAAGGGCACTTACATGCAGGTATATTAGTCCTTGGGGAATGGGTTACCTGTTCTTGAGCCTCCGCAGCAACCTGCCGAGCCAGACTGTGGATCTTTCGCTCGAATTCTGCCTCCTTTTGCTCCCGCGCTGGTTGCGCCATGTTCTTACTACGATCCCTGTTTTGTGACTTGAGAGTATCATGGAACCGTGGTTCTCGCGTGGCATCTGAACTCTTCTGCTCCTGGGTTCGCGGCTCGACTGAAGATGGTGTCGTATTGCTAGGCTTTTCCAGAATTCCGTGAAGCAGTAGTGGTGGGCTGCCTTGTAGCTTCGGCTCTTGGGTTAGTGAATCAGTCGATGTCTCTGTCTGAGTGCCTTGGTCGCGAGTGGTAGGCTTGAGTGTTTGAGGGAGAGCCTGGAGGCTCTCAAGACGCGTAATCTCCGCGTGAGTAGCCTCAAGGTTGTCGTTTAGGAACTCGCGCTCAGCAATAAGCTTTCGTTCCCGCTGCTTGAAGCGCTGTTCTTGATCTTCAATCTGTCTAACAAAACGCTTGCGGAGCGCCTCTATCCCCTCTTCGAACTTGGGGCTGAGCATCTGAGCATTTTTATCTCTACTGATAACCTCGAGTTTACTGGGCAGGTGCGACTCAGTTGGAGCTGCTTGTATAGTGGGCTGTTTCAGAATTTCTTGCTCAGATAATGCTGGTCGATCATCAAGTTTCGGTATCTGCGTCGGCGACTTGGCTGATGCTTGTGGTCTGCAGCTCTGCACTCTGGAGGGAGTCTTATGGTCATCAAGGAGCTGCTTAGCAGGTACCGATGGCGGCTGCAGGTGCGATTGAGGTTGAGACGATGACACGTTGCCGTCATCATCCTCAGATACTACTGTATCCTCGAGACCTGGATTTTGAGCGATGTTCTCAGTCGTCGGCACCACCTCGTCTTTCTCCAGGGCTTCGCTTGCTGTCATTTCCACACTTTCTTGGGATACCTGAACCTCAGGAGTTGGCTGGAACCCGTTGCTTAGCTCTTCTTTGGAAACTGCGACATCTTGAACTCCTTCTCTTCCAAAGGACCATCCGTTTTTGGAAACTCGCTCCTCAGCACGGGTATTACAAGAGACACTGCTGGAGTTGAGTCTGAATTGCGTGGTCGTCGGTAGTCGCTCAGACTCATTGACAACACACCCTGGTTGCAAAAGCTCGCCATGCAAGAAATCATCCTTACCTTGCTCGGCTGCAACTACATCGTTCGTTTGCTCTGTGGTTCGGCTGGATTCCGCGGGTTCTTCGGACGAGTCGACAACGACATCCGCTTCACAAAGCGCCTTGTCTCCGTTCTCCTTCCCACTCGATACTGGAGAAGAATCGAGTGGGTCGACGGTTATATCCTTGTTGTCCTCTCGCTTTTCAATCATACTGCTCTGAGACCTTTTCTCCCTGTTACCAGAGTTGATGTTCTCATTCGCATTCGCGTTAGCTTTATTTTTGTTCTTCTTCTTGTTTCCAGCCATCTTGAATGATTGCTATCGGTTTGTTTCTGGAGCAATTATCGTTCGCTGATGTTGGTTGAAACTCGTTATACCGTGAACGAAAGTGCAGTGGTGAGGTTCGAGGAACTAGTCAGAGAAAAGAAGAGTATATATAAACTAGGGGAACAACAGGAGAACGGCCAAGTTAGTCGGCGCAAGCGCATATACGTCCAGGTGGCAACCACTGGAGCCTCTAGCGCACTCCCAGTTGCGACTGCAATCGAAGTGAAGAGTGAATATGGGTAAGGATAGAGTGAGCCAGAGTGAATGACTTTCTTGATTGCTGTAACGATTATAGAATATCTAGGCTGTGGCACGAAGTCATTCCCAAGTGAAGCAACAGCTGTTCATTTGCGGGTTTCCATGCTTCAGCATTAGCCATTCGTGTATCAACCCCAAGGACGGTCCTCATATCTCGATCTCATTTTCTACAACGCATTTAGTACGTCCATAATAATTTGCTAGGCAGACGATCGAAATCTGGCTTTCAACACTCATCATATGCATCATTAACTCCGGATACCTAGGCACGAATGACGACTTGGTATCTTGGTACGCATTGAGAGAGTTCTGAATGATCACTATGGCATTGACAGCATTTATTCAACAGAACGATTGAATATGCTTGTCATCAGGGGTTACGAACTTGACAACAAGCCACATAAACGATGTTATCACGGGAACGGAAAATTGTTCTTTGTGTTGATTGCTATTCGATATAAAAGCCAGCAAAGTCCGTATGATGCAAGCAACGAGCGGAAACTGTTCCAATCACTGCATAATCACATGCCTCAATGACAATTTCAACCTATAAAATCTGCAAAGAAAGCCTCTACGACTGCCAGAAATCACCAGACAACCACCTGTTGAGCATCTCGAGCGAAGCCTCGGGCTGGTCGTAGGGGACCATGTGGCCACCAGCATGAAGCCTCATGAAGGTGAAGTTCCCGCTGGACTTGACCTGACCAACAGTCTTGCCGTCACCGTCGATCTTGAAGTCCTCCATCTGAGCCTTCTTGTAGTCCTTGGCACCAGGCCACTCAAGCGCCTCAGTCCAGGCCTTGTTGCCGAGCCAGTTGCAGATGTAGTCGGCATCACCAGCGTAGATCAGGACGGGGATCTTCTCAAGGATACCGGGAACGACGCGGTGGAAAGGCTTCATCCAGTCACCCTGGAGAAGGAAGTTACGGTTGATGTCGAAGTTGCAAGACTCGTAGTTGGAGACCTCAGCGCCGACGGCCTTCATGACCTCCTTCTTGTTAAGGTAGCCCTGTATCCAGTCAAGCTCATCGTAGCAAAGAGAGTTGCTGCCACAAGGCTTGCGAACATCGTAGACGTTCTGGCCAGTGCGTTGGTAAGGACCGATCATAGCGTTGTTGCAGTAGATGGATGCAGGCACGCAAGACCAGACAGACTCGGAGTTGTAGCAGTTCTCAATGAGGCTGGCGCAACGAGGGTAGGCGTTGTCCATAGACTGGCACTGAGACTCATCAAGAACGGCGGGCCAGCCACCCTCACCGCAGGCCATGGGACGGTAGTACTCGTACTGAGTAAGGCCATCGGTCAGACCGTTACCGATGAGGACGGACTGGAGGTTGATGTTGCGGTTCTTGTGGGACAGAATCTCAGAGGCAAAGACGGGGATGTAGTGTCCGGCGTATGACTCTCCGGAGATGTGGAAGCTCTGGTGAGAGTACTCAGGGAACTGCTTGAAGAAGAGGGTAAGCAGGGCGTAGATGTCCTTGCCAGCAGCGACAGTGTTGCTAACTGAGCCGCTCGAGTATGAGTATCCGACGTTGACGGGCTGGTCGAGGAAGATGACGGAAGCATTGGCGTTCCAAGAGTAGGGGTTGTGCTTGACCTTCTGGTCCTTTGTGATGGAAGCCGGGCCGAGCTCCATGAACAGGCCGGTCAGCGAAGAGCAACCGGGTCCGCCATTGAGCCAGAGCACAACGGGGTCGTTCTTGGGGTCGTTTCGCGACTCGAAGAACCCTGCGAAGTGTTAGATACAGGGGTGTGTGTGATAGCCATGCGGGTACTCACAGTAGAAGAGGTGCTTGTCCTCGTCGTCGTCGTCGAGGTAACCAGAGTACTGCTTGACCTTGTCGACGCCGAGCACGCTGGGGTCGACCTTCTTGGCCCTCAAGCTGTACTGCTCGAGCTGGCCGTCAATCTCGCGCTGCTTCTCGCCGTTCTCGTTCTCGACCCAGACGCTCTGGATGTCGGCGCCCTTGATGATGTGGTCCCATTCACTGTCCTGCTTGCGCGTGTGAGGCTTGGGCTGGGAGAAGAAAGCAGCCTTCTCAAAGCTCTCGGGGAACATCATGGCGACCTCGTCCCAAACGGCGCGAGCCTCGCCAGTGAGCGACTTGAGGCTCTCCTCGAGGTTTTGGAGCGGCTTGCTCCATGACGACGTCGACTCCTTGAGCTCGCTGAAGGAGTCAGGGAACTTGAGGATCTGCTGCTGCTGAGGCGCAACAGCGGCGGATGCGGCTCCAACGAGGAGCGCCGATGCGGCGACCTTCATGATGGCGGTGCTAAGCTTCCGGAGCTATAGCGGTAGATGAGTGAAGACAAGATGAGCACCTCTACAAATGAATGAAGAAGCACGCGGTGATGGATGGGCAAGAGGAGGGATGGATGGAGGAGGAGAGATGGGATGGGTCTAGTTAAGTCAAGCTATGGGTAGCTCTTGTGGAGGAGGCGCGGCTTGTCCAGGCAACGGAGCATGACGCATCCCAACAGCTTATCAGAGTGGCTGGCCCGTCCGAGCTCCAGCATCACATGGGCTTAGCGTTTCACGATAGCGGTGATCGGCGCGTGTGGCAGGACACGCGCCGGCCGTGGACAGCTATCATAGACATCATGACGCTTGCAGCTTCATTCCCGCCGTCTGGACATGGAGGCCGTGGCGAGTTCCTGCTGCCGAGCTGTCTGCGCACCTCGGGAAGCTAGAGCTGGACCTGCATGGTCCAAATCCGGCCTAGCGCCCTTCCACTCATAGTGACTGCACCTAGGCATGTCATCGCGCAGACCCCACCAAAATGTCGTGCAACTTTTATGACTTGCGCCCAACATCTACAGTTCAACCACGATTATACCCATACCAACACCCGTAATCACTCAAGATGCCTGTCGGAATCAACCAGCCGTCCAACCAGATCAAGCTCACCAATGTCTCGCTGGTGCGCATGAAGAAGGGTGCGCAAACCTCGCCAGAACCTCATGTCCTGCGCAAACTAACATCCCACAGGCAAGAAGCGCTTCGAAATCGCATGCTACAAGAACAAAGTCCTCGAGTGGCGCAACAAGATTGAGAAGGATCTGTCCAACGTGCTGCAAATCGAGAACGTCTTCCTCAACGTATCAAAGGGCCAAGTCGCACCAAAAGCCGATCTCGAAAAGGCCTTCCCGAAGAAATCACTCGAAGATATCATCACCGACATACTGGATCATGGCGAGCTGCAAGTAGGCGAGAAGGAGCGCAACGCTGAGTTGGAGAGAACCAAGAATGAGGTCATCGATATCGTGGCGGGGAAACTTGTGGATCCTAAAACAAAGCGTGTCTATACCACGGGCATGATCGAGAAGGCTCTGGACCAATTAAGCTCGGCAGCGGCGACGCAACAAGGGGACAAGAGTGAGAATAAGGAGGATGGTGAGGACAAGGGCAAAGCCAAAGAACTGCCCAAGTGGTCCGGCATCGTCACAAACAAGTCGGCCAAGTCGCAGGCACTGTTCGCTATGAAGGCCCTTATAGCCCACCAGCCGATACCCGTCGCCCGTATGCAGATGAAGTTGCGCGTTACCTGTCCGACATCCGTTCTGAAGCAAGCCATAAAGACCGCCCCCAAGGCGCAAGCAGGCACCGAGGAGAAGGGAACTACCGGCACTGTCAAGGATGCGATACTGGGATTCATGGAGAACATTGAGAGCCAAGAGACAATAGGCGCTGAATGGGAGGCAGTCGGTCTCGTCGAGCCTGGAGCCTTCAAGGGATTAAACGAGCTCATCGAGGGCCAGACAAAGGGAAGAGGCAATGTCGAAGTTCTCGAGATGGCTGTCGGTGCCGACGACTGAGTGGTGACACGTCTTACAAGCACGCATCGCGCAGGACACTCACCCTCGCGTGCGGCAGCATTAGGACGGAAGCTACCTTTCGCAGGACAAATCCCTGTGTCTCTTGAGGATGAAGCACTTGCATTCATGGACGGCAAGGAACAAGACGAGCATGGTCTTTGCGAACATGTCTTCAACCCCACAAAAGACCGCTTCTGGACCAGTTCCACCATGCTTGCCCTGGCGGAGCTTTATACTGCCCCCTGCCATAGCGTCGGTGCCCTGGAGAAATGCGGACTCATAGCTAGACGTTACTCTAGAACGTATTCTGCTAGACGTATACAGTGAAGCGAGCGCGTAATCAGCTGCCTATATGTCCATGCACAACAATCCGGCCCTGTTCACAACTCTATGCATAGCCGTCAGCCTCACATGAAGCACCACGACTTCTCCCTTTATTCGTTCTGGCGTATTACCACTTTAAATCCTCCACCAATGCAGTGCTACCTGCAACGGTTCCGATGCATCAGCACAGAGCCACTCGTTGCGGGACAGCTGTTTCCGACCTGCATAGCCTCGCATATTCGTGCATGTAAGTAACGTGGGGTAGTCAAGATTGAGATTTGGGCAACAAAGCTTCGGGGCTGAGGGTTTGGGAGATTTTGTGTAGCAGTGGGGAGCGATAGTAGTCACGGATCGGTATTTGTAATGATCAGACAGGATGGCTTCGTGAACGCGCAAAAGAGTTTCATTTCATGGCAGTAGTATACACATGTATGCTGATCGAAAGTTGTGAAAAGGGTCGTTGAGTCGTGCTTTCTCGTTGCTTGCGTCTGTTTTCGTCGTATGCTTCGTGATCATGAGTCCTGAGTCATTATCGCTACCGTGTGAATGCCGTACCTAACCCATGCTGTGAATCAAGAAAGTCGCCAAAAAGGAATGTCCACAGAACAAACATCCAAAAGACAGAGAGCAAAAAGAAAAGCTTGTAACACCAGATTGTCGTCAAAGCCGTGCCGGCCCATCTCAGACACACATTCAGCTCGCCGGACGCATCCTTATAACGACATTCTCAGTCACTACCTCAATCCCACCACCGACGATTAGGCACACGCCCATTGTCGCTCAATATCCCAAGCACGTCAGCACTACTCGTCTGCACCCCCCACACCCGCTCAATCGGATCCGCAATCGCCATCCAATCTAGACCTCTGACATCGTACATATCCAGTACTACGCGAACTAGCCACGGCGAGTACATCGGACAACTGGTGTCTTGGTAGAGAAACGGGGAAGTTGGTTCAGCGACAACATCATCCTCACGACTGGTCTGCTGTGCGAACGATAGGGGGTGAGGACGTGGACGACGACGTCGCGACGAGTGCGATGGTGGTGGTGGGTTTGAGAAAAATTCTGTCTCGCTCCCAGCCGAGCTTGGAGAACTTGTCGCTGAAGAAGCGGCACTAGATGCATCGGAGAGAATGGATTCATCGCTCATCTTGGTGTTCAGGGGGAGTAGCATTTGAATGGAGCGCATTGCTCCCTGTGCCGCAGCTTTAATGGCATCGTAGCTTGAAAGTGTGATGAGCGAGCCAGTGGACTTTGACAGCGGCGATTCCTCCGTAGGAGAACTACTGATACGCAATGATGGTGAGTCGAATGATTGTGATCGTATGCGCACTCTTGGCGAAGGAGTACGTGGTAGTGCTATGAGTGGTGCCATGACGGGGCAGTGACTGCGGCCGGATGAAAGAAATCCAGACGAAAGGAGAAAACGCAACGAAGAGGCCTTCCACCGGCCTAACGAGTGTCGGTACCATCAGTAAGGGTTATATCCACAGTAGTCACCTCAGACATGCGGCCGTTTCGCTAGCCCTGCATATCGAATATGCAACCATGCCACGAATTCGGCACCATACGAGGAAGTCACATGCCTTCCGAGTTCCCTCCTTTGAGAAAGGCGTAAACTGCGGGGAATACGGGAGCACCGACGAACAGGAGACAATGATACTGCAGATGCCGATGATCGGGAGAGGTCGATCTGTTGCAGGATGCGTGGGACAGCGCACTCCACACTTGGCGCTTGATCTATCAACCAGATAGGTCACAAAGGACCGACATAATTAGTTAAATATGTGTGAACCTCAGGAGAACATTTTGCGCGCGACAGGCGCCACCGATCGCAGCTTCGATCCACGTTCGTTGTTGTTGTGCATGCTTGTGGGATCAAACGGAACCAACCTAGACACCTTTAGCGGACCGAGCCGATAGCTCTGCTTACCAAAATCAAGAAGCGGTAGTCAGGAAACATAGTGCGCACCGAGGTACTAACAAGCGTGGTGGTGGTGTGACGTGGTGGGCGAAGTATGGCCGCATATGCGACGTTAGTCCTTCATCACCAATTACTAGGCCTATCTAGGCACCATACAGCCATTCCCCCGAGATGGCCAACACGGCCCATCGACTGTCGAAAGCGAGCACACGTCATGTTGGAACAAGTCGAAATTTGAATGTGTGATTTTGGTACAGGCTGTATTCGGCCAACCCTAACCGTGCCGCACCACCTCACTCCATATCGTGCATTGCCGCATGAAGTGTAAGCGTGAAAGCCAATGAAAGCCGTTTGATAAACACCGTAAGTGCACCACCCATTTCGTAAAGGCATGTTCCAGCCCCAGCTGCCCAGCGCAAGCGAAAACCTTTAACCCTTCTTCTTGGAGACACCGACGGTTCGGCCGCGGCGACCGGTGGTCTTTGAGTGCTGACCGCGGACACGGAGGCCCCAGTAGTGACGGAGACCACGGTGAGCGCGGATCTTCTTCAAGCGCTCGAGATCGTCACGGAGCTTGGAGGCGACACCGTTGGCGAGGACCTGGCTGTTCTTGCCATCGACGATATCACGCTGCCTGTTGAGGAACCAGGAAGGAATCTTGTCTGTGGGGTGTCAGTGTGGGACCTTTGCTACGGAAACTGCCATTGCGTACACTGGAGAGGGTTCTGGATGATGGTAACGATACGCTCAAGCTCTTCGGAGGTGAGGTCACCAGCGCGCTTGGTCAGATCGACATCGGCCTTCTTGCAGACCAAGTTGGAGTATCGGCGACCGACACCAGTGATCTTGGTCAAGGCGTACATGACCTTCTGCTTTCCATCGACGTTTGTGTTCAACAAACGGATGATGTATTGGAAGCTGGTAAAGTCAGCACTGCTCTGGTCATACAATTGTGCCTCCGATTCTGTATCGCCCCTATGCGTAGATCTCCGCAGTCGAAAGCCGTCCGCTACCTCGATTGGCCACTTCAGTCCGAACAGCATGTCGAAATCCTCTCTTCGTGTTTGGTTCCCATAATCTTCTTACAACACTTGTTGCATCCATTCATCGTTCTATCCTCTCTATCCTCGGATTGCTGCTGGACTGGAAGGGCGAATCGCGATGTTGTGCGGCTTGAATCGGACCAGGCGTATCGAAGCGAAGGCAGTGGACCGGACAGGAATCTTCAGGCTGTAGTCTGTACGTACTTGGACTTCTCTCCGGAGACGAGCGCTGTAACATTGTCAGCATGTCTCTACTTGGAGTGTCTCGACATCGATCATTGCGACCCCACTCCGCGCGCTGGGGGAGGCGCACTCGGCGCGAATAATGCCAGGGTCGCAACAAGTGATGCAAGTCGACAGTATCCGGGTATACTCACACATGATGGCGGCTTGTCGTACGTCGTCGATGTGGTGTTGTCGATGCTCTGGAAGTCAAAACGGCGGGATCTGAAATGCTGAAATTCGCTTAAGCAAGTGGTGGGAGCGGCACTAGTGCTGACGCTAACCATATCCGTCGCTCCACCCGTCGCAACTCCCCTCTTTGTATTCACCCAGTCTCTGCGACTCTGCGCAATCGTTTCGACTCGCAGTTAAACTCCTTGCACATGACGTCCTGCTTCACCGCTCATGTCGCCATAGCTCTGCAGACAGGATGCTGTGGCTATGAGCCTGTGGCTGTGCACTAGTATCACAGGGTGTCTAGCGATGCATCTCTTCACCCGCTCGACCCCAAGTTGTTGCCTGTGATTCAACCGGTACGTCATTTGTTCTTTCCCAGTTCATCTTATGTAGTCCTTGTTGTCACGATGCCATGATTCCAGCCACATCTCTGTCAGCCTCCACAGGTTCGTGAGGGCGCGAAACTTCTCTAGGACAGCTGCGCCACAATTTTGGCCTCAACAGTTCTCCTCACGTCCAAGTCATTTGCTAGAATTCATGATGCCTAAAATCAGGCGCAAACTATCAGTCGGTGTAGCTGCCTTATATCCACATATAGGCCTGGTTGTTAAAGGTTCTTATCACCCGTGGACAGAACGAGTACTTGATAGCGCCGCCACAACCTATCCCTACCAATCACTCTTCCTCCACACAGCCTGAGGACATACCCGTTCCTAAAAGAATCTTTCTGTCTGCTGTTTATTTACTCTTTTCTCTGACCGGACCATCTCATGCATCAAGCGAAGCATTGTCTGGGGCAATACAGTCGCGGAACTCGATTCATTGCTTAGCAACGGCCGACAACCGGGAAACGTTCGTTAGAGATGGACTCTCAGGCTCCCTCAGTCATCCCAGGTGGATTTTCCAACAGCCTTGGATTTACAGCGGCTCCCCTTCATACGGACGAGCTCGCCAGACATGACACTGCATCGTCTACCGGAAGTGCAAATCGATTGTCTGAAGGCTATTGGGCACTGAACCTTAGCGGCAATTGTTCGAGCTGTCACCACCACCACAATTCTGTGCAGGTGCGTGTTCGTGTATCAGGCGACTCTACTGAGGTCGGTGACGTCCGCTGCGATAAGTGTAAGAAGTTGTGGTTAGCCTTCGGGAAAGGCAATAGCAGGCGATTATCTCTTCTTTCTACGAAGAGCCTAGATCGGGAGTCGCTCGAAGCTGAGACCGAATTCCACAGCACCCTAGTCAATATCATCAAGGCCACCAACCCTATTGCCGCATTGCATCCCACTCTTACGGCCATCCCAGAAGTCGCATCAGTCAGTCCATCACGGGAGACATCCGTGCGGTCGACTGCCCGTAGTCATATCCAACGGCACTCAGCAGCCGTGGGCAGCGAATCCAAGCCAGACTCTTCCGGATTTAGTGGTGCGGTCCGAGCACAAAGCCTCAGCAAGAAGTATACGAACATTGGCAAACTTGTGGTATCCAAGGGCCGGAAGAGCTTTCTTCGTCTCAAAAGGAAGGTTGCAGCAAATTTCCGCACGTCACAAGTCAGTACCGACAAGCTATTGCTCCCAAGCGAGGATCATCCCACTCGAGGCGACCATAGCCAGGTTCAGGTGCCTACCATAGCACTTTCGCCAGCTCAGGCAGATCTAACGGACGCTCACTTAGATCATGATGCCGAATTCAGCGAAGGTTACCCTGATGTCTGCACTTCGTCAACTACCGCTGCGGGTGCGCTAGCTGCGCTCAAAGCGGTCGACCGCCAGGCCATCCAGGCTCTACCTCCATGCGAGCGCTTCGATTGGGGCCGCAGGCAATTGACAGAATTTAAAGCTCGATACACGGGATCTACCACCTTGGCCAGTCTTCCTGTGATGAGTGATGTCGGAACTCAAGCTAACGCTTCTGAGGACTTGCTCTTGCTTCGACCACTTGTTAGACGTCACTCTGCCTTGGCCTATGTTGGAAACATCTTCGGAACTAATGAATACTGGGATACCTTCCGGGGAAGTACCCATACTCTAGATAGTCGGCCATTCAGCATGAGCGAAACGAATCTTTCGGACGCTGATACCGCTGTTGAACGAATGACTATGGCTCCTACACCACATCAACTGTTCATCGAGAGCTTGCAAAGAGATCGTCGTGGCTCAGGATCTTCTCGTCCTCTCTCGATACATAGTATCATGAACGACTGGCAGCAAACACGTCGAAACCGAGGGGAGGCTCGCTTATCCATTGATTCGGCTGCGACTGGGAATGCTGTCAGAAACATTACTACCACGCGAGGGCGTGCAAGTAATCGTCTCTCCCGCAGTTCGATGAACAGAACATCCTCGGTCTACGGTACAGAACCGCAAACTCCGCGCGCCCAATTCCACTGAACAAAGAGACTGGATATACGGAGGTACCTGGACGTGTAGACCCGCCTTCTATTCCATCACTGATGTCCGAAGTCGATGTGAGTCCATAGGATTCCTACGGTGTCACGGGGCTGGATGGGCTCCAAGCATCTGTTTCGTGGTGTTGCTTCCCAAGTCGGATTCATTTTCATATACGACATCGTTCGTCTTATTCCAACACGTTCTCTTCGGCAGTTGCGTCGCTACATCACGAGTTTCCGAATTTTCGCTCTCTAGTGTTACGAGTCAAATGGGCTAGGACGGAATCTTTCAACTACGAACATAGTTCGCCATGTGTTCGTTCGCCCAGAGTTTCCTTAAGTACAATCGGATATTAGCGTTCTAGAGACTTATAAATGAAGCGTTTCTTTTTTTCGAGAGAACATTTTCTTCTAAATCCTGTCCGTTGTCACAATACCTCAACGCCATTGGTCTAATCGACATGCTGGTACCAAAACGCGGGTATGACGCAGTTGAGTAACGCTGTATTATATCGTGGTGGCAGTATGTTCCCTAAAAGCCTGTATTCACTGTGTACAGCGTAATTAACACCATCGCTTCGATACCTCTACGCAAACTCTCAAAAAAAAGCCTAAACTATCCGTCATTGCTTCCTACCAATCGTCAATCATATCATTAAACTCTTCACTCTCCACATCCATGACTTTCCTGGCAGCCTCACTTCCACTAACAGGTAGCATCTCCAGTCCACCATCTTCGTCATCTGTCTTCTTGAAATCTTTTGGCACCTCTTCGGGGTCAAGAAGACCGACCTGGAACAGTACAGAAGCTTGGTCCCAGTACACCCTCTCGGACCATATCTTGCCCGCTCTGAAGCCTACAATGCTCACCACCACTATCTCAACTTTCTGGTTCGTGGGCTCAACGCCAGGAAGGATCCACGGCATTTGGCAGGTATGCTTGAATTGTATGTAGAGTTCGTCTACGATTTGGTCGACGCCGACTGTGCGCGAGATGAGCCGCATGTGCATCGATGGTGGAGAGGTTTTGAGGAAGTAGTCACGGTAAAAGCGCTTCAAGTCCGGAAGTCCGCTTCCACCAGTCATGGTTGGTGTGAAGTTTATGTAAGGCGTAGGCTTTTTAGTGTAGGTTTCTAGGAGTTTATCGAGGGATTTGGGACGGTACTTTTCTGCTTGGTGTCAACTTTCATACGAATGAAGGCAAGGGGTGACTATACGCACGTTCTTCGTTCTCCTCCAGTACCCGCTCCAAATCCACTTCGGCACTGAAACCCCGACGAACTGTACTCAAACTTCTACTCCAGGCGAGCGCATCAGCGACGGCATCGTACTCATCCAGGTCATGCTCTGCAAACCCTGCATCCACACCTTCGTATGTAAAGCAAGGATACAAGATTTTGTCCTGTAAGCCTCCTGCGCCTATGCCAGGTGTAACACGCTTCTGTACCGTTTTCCGCTTGCCCTGTATACCCAGGACTTCTGGGCGACGCGTAACGCCTACGGTATTGTCGTTGCCGGATGTTCCCTCAGCAAGATGCACGAGCACGCGAAAAGAGGATGTAAAGCGATGTCGCGTATCGGGGATGGATGTTGGGTAGTAAGCGATGAGGGAGCAGAGTTTCGAGGTGGCTGTTTTGGGTTCCGAGAAAACGTCTAGACACACGGCTGCAGCATCACCGAAGGCTGGACAGATACAGTCAGTACGTGTTTCGGCCGGTGATTAGGCGCATGACATGCGCCAGGCTGTGAGGGGCTTGTATACCTACGATGGCGTACCGTTCCCCAATGCCCATCTTGTCGCCTAGTTTATGAAGCGTTTGCACATATTGCTTCCCGCCTTTTCCGAAGGGTATGTATTCCACAATGAAGCCTTCGTCGCGCCATGCCTTCATCGTCTCGATGTCGAACTCGGTGTCTTCGGCGGTGATGTACAGCACAGGCGTGCTGCTCCTAAACGACAGCCAGCCATTGCGGTCGGCAAGAAATTGTTGCGCCATATCGTGGTTCAGAGTCGTGGTCGCAATGGTATGCGCGCTCACGCGATGGCTGTGGTAGCTCCACTATTGGCAAGCGTAGCTATCCCGGTTTCGTGTTGGATCCGTCCGACGATGGATGAGATGTTATCGACAGCGTTTCGCGATGCACGATGTCAGGTCGGGTCCTCGCAGACTGGCAATGGCAAAATGATCATGCATGTAGCGGCGCATTGTCGGTGTGGGCTCACATGAGTATTGTTGAAAGCTGGTTATTTGAGTGGCTCCAGTGGAGTCGCGCCGGAGTCCTCCATATCGTGCATGACGTAGGGCCTATAAGCCTCTCCCAGCTAAACCGAAAGAGGCGTTGCCGTCTGCGTCGCACCTGATCTCGTTCATCGTCCTGGAAAGTTGGCCTAGGTAAACACTGCAGATGGTCACGAGATTTTTAGATTTTATCAACATGCCCTCGACAACCCATTGGCTGTACACAATGTGAATCGCAGTTGTGGCAGGCTGTAGCAGCTCCCGAGCCAATCACATCGCCCTGGTGCCTGATTCGTAACTAGGATGGACGACAGTCAACAGATACCATCACGCCCTCCAGTTTCTTCTTCTCTCACTTTGTCTTTTATCATTGTCATATGTTGTGCTACAAGATGAAGCGTACGGCTAGGTCAGATCCGAATCGCTCCGACCTCACAGCAGCGAAACGACGGCGCACGTACGATTACATCCCGCTTGATATACGACATCTTACTAAAACTTTGTAGCGTGCCAAATCCAGCTACAGACCGTCGGTTCTGGGGCCTGAGCTGCGAGGATAGCGCTCGGGTCGTTGATCTCTACGACGAAGGGAGGCTGCTCATAGCGGACTACAACAAAGCTCAACAAGAAGTCGAGGCTAGGCGGAATCTGCTCGAGGAATCTGCGAGAGGGCCTGGTGAATGGGACTTTATGTCTCGCTGGGACTTCGATTTCGAATACGAGTTCGATGACACTGCAGACGAAGAGGAACAGCTCAGACACGCTAAACTCAAATATATTATGGACAAAGATACCGAGCTCTGTAATCTCGTAAGAGATCTAGAAGCCGCCAGCTATTCGATTGATCGTATCGCGACGGCTTGCGCCGATCTGCAGCTATGTTCATCGCTTACAGCAATCATTCTCGCCAAGCTTCCTCGCGAGCTTCGAGACCATGTCTACGATTATCTCTGGGCAGGAGAGCACGTCGAGAGCATGGATAAGGCTATCTCGTTTGTTCCTCGACACTATTTCTCAGATGAAGCTGTCATCAACGCACCAGAGCTGCCTGTGCCGCGTTTCGCGAACGTCACATTCGTTGGCCTAGAATTCGCATCTGAAGCTGCGACTCGGTACTTCAGAGTCTTGTCAAGTGCGGAACTTGACTACCGTTACGTACGTGCCAATCTTGAACGCAACCGCTTTGGTCCCATGACATTCGTGGTCAAGAACGAAATTCGGCGCCTTGTGATGACGATTGATGAGAGCGCTGGGACTATCTGCCAAGGTACAAGGATAGCTTGTGAAGCTCTCAACGACAGCATGAACAGCCTGCTCGTGTTCAAAGATCATCAAAACATCAGCATCGAGATTTATTTGGAAGCGGGCATGCAATGGAGCCTTGCGTTCTACCAGGCTCTCGAAGTCATCAAGCCAGTGTTCATGACACTTCGCGAAGCCAACATAGACATCAAAGTCCTGGGTTACGACTTCTTCAGCACCACCGAAGACGATGATACTGACATCTTTTCCGAACAACTCAACCACTATCTCACAGCAGGTAAACCTGAAGAATGGCTCGACATGAAAGCCAGAGAAGTCAAAAGCGTACCACGAGGACTGCTTCGGCAGCGGTGCAAACGAGTAAGAAGCTCAGAACTTGTATAGAGAGTGAACTAAGAATGTGTGTAGACACTGAAGATCATGCGAAAGAACCTTGAGTTCTACACCCGGAACAGTCGCAAGGCCACAGGGGCTGCTACAGCGAGCTTGTGATTATGTGGTAGTGGTACCGCAGTGGCAGATGGAAAACCTCAGGGTCTAGATCTGGTAGCGAACACTTATTTATTTCCTCAAATCGAAGATACTGGCACGCCCAGGACAATTGTAGGATTATCATGAATCACCACAGCACTAGGGTAATACCATCTGAGCTGAAACTACAGCTTCGCTCTGGGCGCTTCACCATCATGGTTCCATCCTGGCATATCCGCTAAATCCTTGGCACGCGCCGCCCTTCGTGACTTCAGCGCGTCGCCAGTGCCTGGGCGCCATCTCCATGCATGTGCTAGGTCATCTGATAATTTACCTTCTAGCAGCTCGACCACATGCTTACCAATGTTAGGTAGAAGCTTGAAGGTGTGACTACACATGGTATTAGCAACGTGTGGAAACGTTCAGTACAACAGAACCAAGACTTACCCACTGTCACCCGTGGCCAGAATAAAGTTCTTCCACTCAGGATGTTCACACATCAACAGTGCTGCATCTGCTGTATCGGTACACCAACACAGATGCCTGTTGAACAGTTCCTTCTCGGTAAATTTGGGCAGAAACGTTGCGATCGCCTTGCGGATACTGACCTCCGAGGCGTCCGGGTAGGTATCTGAAGGGTGTTTTGCGGCAGATCTAGGTACAGAAATAAGTTTTGGAGAAGATGCTCCAAAAGGTTGATGCTGCTTGAAGCGCGTAAAACCCGGAAACTCGTCACAGACTTTGATGACGCCGTGTTCATCGGGCTCGAAGAAGAAGCCCACGTCGCCATTGTAGACTACGGGAACGTTCTTGTATTCTGCGGCCTCACTCGGAGACAGTTGAATGTGAGCGTATACCCAGGCCTTTACATGTTAGATGTGCGTGTTTAATGATTGAGTTGCAGCAATATACCTTCGACACACATTGGTCTTGAAGATCAACCAATGTAGGACTCCATGCACCAGCCGCCAAAACCACCTTGTCAGCATAGTATTTTGTTCCGTCGATCGTCTCAACGCCAATACAAACGCCCTCGGCAAGAAGAGGTTGTTTGAAAGAGCCTGCTCCGCCAAAGCCAAACTTGACGCCTTTATCGCGCAGAAATCCACCGATAGCGTTGATGGCTTTTGCTGCTGCGAGCCATCCGCCGTCTTGGCTAAAGACGGCTTTCCATCCCTTGATCTGTTCGCGATCGAGAAGCGGCATCTTCTCCAGGATCTTATCTTCCGAGTCTAGCCATTCTGTAGTCGCCTCCAGACCAGCGTTCGCATCGAGCAGGGCCTGGTAAGCTTGTTTGAGATCCGCAAGTCCTTTCTCGCCATGCGCGCAGTCAAGCTATAAGATCCGTTAGCCTTGAGTCTGCTCATACGTTTTTTACGTGTTGTCACTCACCCGCCCGGTCTTATGAAAGTACTCTTTAAACAAATCGTCTTCTGTCCACATCTGCCTTGCCTCTAAGCTCAGCTGCAAATCCACCTTGTTCCGCAAGCGGATGCCCATGATTTTGTTCAAGTCATTGCCAGCTGATTGGGATGATGGGATCGGGTAAGTGTCCAGAACTGTGATATTCGATGGTGTGTATCCTGTGCGTACAAGATGAAGGGCTGTTGAAGACCCAATGGTACCGCCACCACCCACTACGATGACGGAAGTATTGGCCCTGGTAGGTGCCATGTTGGAGTAACAATGTCTATCACGCTTGAGACTTCTCGCGTACTGGAGTGTCAAAGAGCGATGCCGGAAGTCGTTATCAGTACCGACCCACGATGTTATCCCGCCGGTTAAGTATCGATCAAGGCTGCACACGCCACCGTTAGAATGATACGATGGCGACCCATCTCGCACGCGCCAGATGCGAACTCAGGAAGTTTCGATTAAGTAATTGAGGCCTGCCGTCCCAAGTATCGCCGGCCCTCCTCGCTTGGCGATCCCGACTGTTACAGTGTCCAAACAGGGTTAGGCTGGCGGGCGTCAGTGGTGCGTAAAGCCGCGGCTATCTCTGTTCCCATCCAGCTTGCGCACCGAGCAAATGCTGGTCTTCCTTGAAACTTTGCATCGCGATAGCAGAAATGGGTCGATACAGCTGCACTGCGATATCAACAACCCCGAACTGTTACGAGCGCAGTACTCAACCCGCGGAGCATCTTGCGTCTGACTCGCATGCTGTAACCCAAGCGTAGCAACCCGATATCTAAGCCTTGCAAAGCCTACGTTCCATGTCTAGCGCGTGCTTGCCATCCCTTAACTATCCTAGCTTAGAACCTCCACTTTTCCCGACTGTTCGCACTTCCATGTTCAGCCTAGCCTGCATTCTCACCCAGACTGCCCTCTCCCTCGGACACCCATCTGCCACCGGAGCCATCGACTCCACAAGTCGCTATCAGCTGGACCCATCGGCGGGAACGACTCGCTTTACCCCAGCTTGGGGTAATGTAGGCCCGAAATCCACAGATAAGCCGGGATGCTAGATGCGTGGATAGACGGCAGGTGGGAGATATGTGAGGGGATGTGGTATATATAAAGCTCGCGTGCTATGCTTTTGGTTTCACTTCAGCTCGGAGCTCAGCTCACATCTGTCTCTATTCGTTTCTGGTCCTGCCAATAAGAGTCTTCTGAGATGTCTAAATTCGACGCTGCCCCTCCAAATACACATGCTGGTGGTAATGACGATGCCCTTCGCACAAAGGGCAGCGATCCGCTCAACGCTCCTCCCACGTATGAGGTAGCCGATGAAAGAGTCAACATGGAAGAGTATGCTAGGACAGTGCCAAGATGGAAGAGAATCTGGCAACACAGTTTGACACAAATGATGTTACTCAGTGTGCAGGCCTTCTGTGGCCCTGCCATGGCTGATGCTATCGCCGGTAAGCTTCCTATCGACGCATCAAATGTAGTGATTTAAGTTAAGAAGATTCCAGGTCTCGGTGGAGGTGGTCTCGCAACCCCTCAAACCTCGAACATTGCGACGGCTGTCAACTACACAATGCTGGCTGTCTGCTGTGCCCTCGGTGGACCCATTGTTAACAAACTTGGAACAAAGTGGGCATTGGTCATCGGTGCTTGCTCGTTTCCAATTCGAGGCTCTTCATACTACTGCAATTCCAAGTTTGGAAACCAGTGGTACCTGATTTTAGGTGGCTTCTTCACTGGCATTGGCACCGGCACTTGGTAGTAAGTGTCTCTGTAAGAATTACATGTAAGCCATACACTGACTTAGTACCTCTGTATTTAGTGTAGCTGAGTCGGGCACCATTATGTCTCTTGCACCATCCGGATCTCGTGGCAAATACTTAGCTCTTTGGATCGTTGCTCGAAACTTGGGGCAGCTAGTCGGCGGTGCTATCAAGTGAGTCTTCTCGATGTGGAACCTACACAGCGATAGCTGACCTTAGCCCTACAGTCTGTCGAAAAATCACGAGAAAGGTGTAGTCGGTGGTGTAACACCCGATACATATGTCGCTTTCTTGATTATCGAATGCATGGCCTTGCCCTTTGCCTTCCTCATATCCCCTCTTGAACGAGTCGTACGCTCGGACGGAACGCGTATCCTAGTATCCGAGAAAATTGGCACCAAGATGGAATTCAAACAGATCAAGATAACTATGACCTCAAAGCTGATCCTACTATCTGCTTTCTGGGCTATATGGTCTTTCTTCTACAGGTTCGTCAATCTTGCCAGATACTGACATGAACACCTGCTGATAAGGCGTTAGTGGTACATGGTCCACTTATCTTGGTACCTACTTCAGCGTCCGCGCCCGCGCACTCTCCTCCCTTATCTCGCCTTTCTTTTGCATCGTTGGATGCTTCGGTTTGGGCTTCATACTTGATCTCAAGGGTGTCAGTCAACGACGTCGCGCACAGATTGGTCTCTTCACGGTCGTGCTCCTCAACCTTGGCGTGTACATCTGGTCGATTGTCATGCAAGCTCGTTTCAACAGCAACAACCCCGGAAAGATCGATTGGGACGATTCGTTGTATGCGCGTTCCTTCTTGCCGTACTTCTTTGTTCAAACCACCGGTCCTTTGTGACAGTCGTATATGTACTGGTTACTGTCTTCTTTTGCAACAGACGCTCAAGGTATGCCTCATTACCTAGTAGCTCTAACAGATCAGAGACTGACAAGATATAGCCAACGTACGCAATGGTGCAGCTTTCCGCTGTCTTGAGGCCATCGGACAAGCCATCTCGTACGGCATGAACACGCAGATCAAGACATCGCCTCTAATCGGATTCTGCGTCACATTCGCATTGATGGCTCTTGCTCTAGGCCCGATGCTGGTACTGGTGAATTCAACACCAGACCGCATCCCTGCGGATGTGATTGCGGAAGAGCAGTGTCGCCAAGAGAAGAAGATAGACAATGTTGAGGTTGAGACCAAGGTATGAGCCTGCCCAGAGAAGTCTGGTTCGACGAATTGGGAACGGGTCCTTTCAGACAAACACGATATAGACGTGAATACAATATTTGACGTAATTCTGAGCCTGATGTTCTGAAAATTGTGCTCGCAACTCCAAATTCGTCTTTGTCAACGGGGCGTAAGGGAGAAACACGTAGACAAGCCGTGAGCCACTGGTCATCTAGCTGCCTCTCCGTCATCAACGGGGCGTCTTGTATGAAAATGAGCTTCTCCTCTTTATGCATGGCGTTATCAAGTGCTGACATGCCATAATGCAAGTTAGATTGTTTTCTACGCTACCTTTTGCCAATACAAGCATACACACACGGCCTGTGTATGAAAGGTCGACGTAGTTGATGAGCTCAGCACTAGCTGAATGCGGAAGTCACACAATCTCAGATCAAGGTAACACAAACAATCGGAGAAAGACGTACAGAATCGCGTAAGCTGATACGTTTGAGCAGATCAGAAGCTAAGGCTGTGCTTACTGACTTAGCTGGCTATTCTGCCGGTATTTACACGATGCTGACAATGATCAAATGAGGTGTGAACGATTGAGAGTATATCAAGGTGCATCTGCACCGGAATCTGCGTTCGGACTTTGCTCTGTACCATTGCAATTTGTCTTATCTTCAATACAACATTATGGGTTCTATAGCAGAGAACGGAGTAGAGCATCCTTCGGGCCAACTCATAGTGCATGCTATCGAAGAGAAGGCGAGATGGATACCAAGCAACATGTTCATGAGATACGCGTTGGAAGACTGGGAGCAGGATGGTTACAAAACAATTACGTGGAAGCAGTATGCCAACGCCATCGACAAGATGGCTTTCTGGTTTGACGAGCAGCTCGGAAAGGCGGTAGATCGCGAAACGGTTGCTTACTTTGGGCCGAACGATCCCCGATATGCCATCCTGGTACCGGCGATTGCTAAAAGTCGACGCAAGGTAAGTGTTGATTTTTAGAATGTGAGTTTTTGACTGACGACTCTTGTAGTTACTGGTTCCAGATGGCCGTGTGACCAACGAGGGGCTGGCGGGATTGGTGGCGTTGACCAACTGCAAAGTTTGGCTCTATGCAACAGATGATCCTGCAGGACCATTGGTTAAACCGGAGTCGAGCTTGAAATTATGTGCAGTGCCGTCATTGGAGTGGATGCTCGACAATGAAGGGCAGGAGCGCTACCCATATGAGACAACCTTTGAAGAGGCCAAATGGGATGAGATAGTCATCATCCATACATCCGGTACTACTGGTAAGTCAAGCAGAACGCATTCAAAAGCCACAAGCTCATATTTCTTCAGGCGATCCTAAACCCATCTTTCATACCAACGGGATGTGGTCCGCGCTGAGAAACGTACCCATACTTAGCCGAAGACACTGGCCTCGAGGCATCGTGTATGAAAGCTGGATCGGAAAGACAGCTCTGAATCCTTGTCCACCGCAATGGGTAGCCGGCCTGCATGCGATGATCATGGCGCCAGTGTTTCTCGATGCTCCATGTGTGATGATGCCCAGAGGCGAAGTTACCCTGACTCCCGCCCTGTTCAAGAAGATTACTTCGATGAACAAGATCGATGGCATGAAGTGTCCGCCCTTTACTATTGCCGGCCTCTACGAAGATCCAGTAACCAGAGAGATTTTGAAATCGCTGGAGTTCGTCGTATACATTGGCGCACCCTTGGACCGAGCGATTGGGGACGACCTCTATCAGCATACGCGATTAAGCCCAGTCATCGGATCTACAGAGACTGGAGACCAGATTGATCTACGACCAGCGGATAGGAGCCTTTGGTACACGCACGACTTCGTTCCGGAGAATGATCATAAGATGGTGCCTTTTGATACGGAGGGCTTGGACAATCTTCACGAGCTTATCCTCGAGAATGCTGAGGATGGTCGTGCCAACCCTTTCCAGCTAGCTTTCTGGAACTCAGGACATCGGTACTTGAAGCGTATTGAAACTAAGGAGCTGTACCGACCTGTCAAAGACTCTGACGGTCGCACACGATGGGCATTCTCTGCTCGCAAAGATGACTTGACCAAGTTGGACTGGCTGGCGAAGTTCCATGCCCAGGACATTGAGAGCCGGATTCTGCAACACAAGGAGGTGCAGAACGTGGTGGTGGGCGGAGAGGGTCGTCCTGCGCCGTACGTTATTGTGCAAGTAAAGGAGGGAGCATTGGATGAGAAGAGCGAGGCGCAGCTGCTTGATGAGCTGTATGATAGCGTAATTGCTGGCGCCAACAAGAACGATATCGACGAAATCATGATTCCGAGGGAGACGGTTATGGCCGCGACGAAAGAGAAACCGCTCAAGGTTAATTTCAAGCAAGTGGTGCAGAGGAGGGCTATTGAACAGGACTACCTGGAGGAGATCGAGCAGGCGTATCTGCAGTTAGAGGGAGCCAGAAGGACTTAGTTTTGTCTGAATGACACTTGACGCGAAATCTAGCCAACTCTTCTCCGTTGCTTGTTGTTTGATGATGGTGCTTTAAGTCGAGTCAGCCAAACCTAGGAAAGCGCGTCCACGGCAGCCACAAAACGCGCTAGCTGTGAACCTCGGCATATTGAGGTAATGATGTCGGTCGTTGCGGTTGACTTACTCCGCATTTCATGGAAGAGCGTCCATAAACACTGAGCTCTCTTCTTTGGTGAAATTTTTACGGTCCTTAATCTACATTGATAGTACAAGCGATCTCACAAGCATAATGTCCTACTCTAAGCGCATCGACCAGATTGCAGGCCATCTCAACTACCCTAAGGGTATGTTGGCTGGCCAAACTGCCATTATTACAGGTTCTGGACAGGGAATTGGCGCTGAGGCTGCAAAGCTGTTTGCGAAAGAGGGTGCGAAGGTTGTAGTTGCTGATGTAGATGCTAGTGGGTTGATGCAAGTATCTTGAATCTCCAAATACCAGCTAACAGCTCGCAGAGAAAGCGGGCTCTGTAGCCGCAGAGATCAACGAATCTGGTGGCAGCGCCATAGCTGTGGCAGGCGACGTTCTCGACGATGCCTACATCAAGAAGCTCATCTCTGAAGCCGCTGAGTTTGGAGGCGGCAAGATCCACATCATTGTGAACAATGCCGGCTACACATGGGACGGTGTGATCCACAAGATGACGGACAAGCAATGGCACACTATTGTCGACCTGCATGCGACAGCGCCATTCAAGATTGTGAGGGCTGCAGCACCGTACTTCAGGGTCAAGGACGGCGAGCCCAGGAACATCATCAACATCTCAAGCACAAGTGGTGTAAATGGCAACGCGGGACAGATCAATTACGCGCTGGCCAAGGCAGGTGTTACTGGTATGACCAAGACAATTGCCAAAGAGTACGTCCTTATCATCTTTCCCCTACTATGTCCCGCCTAACAATGTCCAGATGGGGCCCTCAATTCGGCGTGCGCGCAAACACGGTTGCTTTCGGCCATATTCAGACGCGCTTGACGGCGGCGAAGGAGGCTGGCGCCTTCATCACGACACCCGACGGCGAGAAGGTAGCGCTGGGTATACCACAGGCACAGAAGGCGGGTGCTGGTCAGGGCCAGGAGCACATGGACATTCCGCTGAGGAGACCTGGTACGGCGACGGAGGCCGCGAGTGCCGTGTTGGCCGTGGCGAGTCCGCTGTTCAGCTATGTGAACGGGGAGACGATCAAGGTGACTGGAGGCAGGAATATGTAGAGAAAGTGCAAGACTCGTGCGACACTTGGCAAACTCAACTCCCCTCGTAGCTCAAACACTTGTTGTGGTGATGAAGTCGCAAAAGACAGTGGCATGGTTTCAACTACCAAGGATCTTGGACAGGGTCTCGGCGCGCGTGTTCCGCTCCGCTATCCCCAGATGCATCTGCCACCAGTCTGCCGCAACATCCAGACAAGACGTAGCCCCTCGTCGACTTTCTTCTTGCGTGTATTCCTATATTCTGCCGTCACTCCTTAGATCCGTCCACCATGTACATGCGCAATCGATAGCCCATGTCACCAATTACTCTCTGAAGCATCCGCATACCTAGTTACCCATCATTCGCTCTCGCGGACCATTCGCCGCGGGCGAGCATCCCCTACCACGACTTCGCGCAACACGTGTACGACGACGACACCCTCTCCCTGCCACTAGCTCGCCATGAGCGACGAGAAGCATGGCTACGTCCGCGAGCCATCACCACCGCCCATCCCCACATACGACGAGGCAACCTCGTCGCGCAATGTCCCTGCGCGCCTGGGACCCAACGAGACCAGCGACGATGCCGAGCGGCAAGGCCTGCTGAGCCCGGATGTCCGCGTCCAGTCGGATCCGCGCAGGCGTAATGGATACTACCAGGCTCCTTCAGTGCAGTCGGTAGACGACGATGGCGACTCGGATCTCGGGAGTCCGGTGCGGGAGAGCCAGGACGAGGACCTGCGCCAGACCATGGAGGAGATGGATATCCTGGACCCAGAGGCCGTCGAAGAAGGACGGGCGAGGCGCAACAGATCAAGAGGGAGGTTCTCGAAACGCTTCTACAGTATCAGACATTCACTATCCAGTTGGAACCTGCCCCGGATACCCTGGCCGAGCTGGCGTCCCAACTTCAGCGCTGTGACGGACCATATACCCACCATACCAGAAGAGTACAAGCCAGGATGGTCCATCATTGCGCGACTGTTCGGTCTCATCTTGATCATAATCCTCGTCTACTTTCTGGTCGTCAGCGAGGTGGTGCCCATGGGCGGTGGATTCGGCACCCCATTCAACCCCGAGTGGGTACGGTCGACGGCCATGGGGAGCGTGGAGAGCTGGAGAATTGAGAAGAATCTCGAGTATATCACAAGCTACGACCACATAGGCGGAACCGAGGGAAGTTACGTGCTGGGCCAGTGGATCGAAGGCAAATTCAAGGACGCACACATGGATACATATACCCATGATGAGTATGCTAGACGTCCGAGGCATTGTTGAGCCCCACGCTGACTTGAGCAGATACTACGTATACATGAACTATGCGAACAAGGGCGGCCGGAAAGTCGCCATTGTGGATCCACCGGAGAAGAAATGGGAAGCCAAACTCGAAGAACCGTCCGTCTTCAATCCAGCCAAAGCGCAAACGCCCGCCTACCACGCTCTGTCCGCGAGCGGGAACGCTACCGGACCTCTGATATACGTCAACTACTGCGACAAGAAAGACTTCAAGCGGTTATGGGATAGCGAGGTGGACGTGCAAGGTGCAATCGTGCTTTGCCGATACTACGGCACACAACCAGACCTAGCCATGAAAGTCAAATATGCGCAAGACGCTGGAGTCGCCGGTGTCTTGGTATACTCGGACCCAGCAGACGACGGCTTCAAAAAGGGAAATCCCTGGCCTGATGGCAAATGGCGACCTGGTGACAGCGTGCAACGAGGCTCGGTTGCACAGACAAACATGATCATGGGAGATGTTCTTACGCCTGGACGGCCGAGTGTGAAGAAGGTAGAGCGTATGCCGCGAGACAAGAACCCAGCATTACCCAAGATCCCAAGTCTACCACTTTCCTGGAAGGATGCGCAGAAACTCCTCAAGTCGCTCAAAGGTTCAGGCGAGGAGCTGCCGGATGAGTGGGTTGGCGGTGTACCGGATGTTGGCGACAAATGGTTCTCTGGTCATCCAAAGACTTCTCCAAAGGTGTTCCTGCAAAACGACCAGGATGAGGTCGAACAACAGCGCATTACCAACGTTTTCGGATCTCTCAAAGGCAGCGAAGATCCCGCTAGCAAGATCGTAATCGGAAACCACCGCGACTCCTGGTGCTTCGGTGCAGCAGACCCGGGCTCTGGCACGGCTGTTATGCTCGAAGTCGTTCGTGTACTGGGCGAGTTGCGTACTCAAGGGTGGCGACCCCTCCGCACTATCGAGTTTGCTTCATGGGACGCTGGTGAATATAACAGAATCGGCTCCACAGAGCACGTTGAAGCCAACGTCCAAGCCCTTCGCGATAGCGCTATTGCTTATCTCAATGTCGATGTGGGCGTGACAGGTGACAAACTCTGGGCCAACGGCTCCCCCATCTTCCAACATGCCTGGACGCGCGTGCTCGACCGACTGTCCGATCCCCACGAGAACAAGACTTTAAAAGAACTCTGGGAGACCTCAGACTCTAAGATCGGCAATCTAGGGGCCGGAAGTGATTACGTCGCCTTCCAGTCCATTGTCGGTACCTCCTCGCTCGATTTCGGCTTCACTACTAAAGAAGGCCAATCAAACCCCATCGCGCGCAGCTGCTACGAGACGCTCTCCTGGATGCGCAAATACATCGACCCCTCCTTCTCCTACCATGCACTGCTCACCCAACTCTGGGTCCTCCTTATCCTCGAGCTCGCCCAAGAGCCCATCATCCCCATGAAGATTGACGACTATGCCCGCTCCTTGCAAGAAGAGGGCCAAAAGCTGTTGGACTGGACCGAGAAAGTGAGTGGTGGTGGAGAGTACGACATTGAGATTTTTCAGCCCCTGGTAGACAGCCTTAGTATGTTCAAGAAGAAGGCAGAGGCATTTGGGCGTTGGGAACAAACTTGGTATAACCAAGTTTATGCGACTGGTGGCTTTGAGAGCAGTGGTGTTACCATACAAAGAGTCGCACATAACGGAAGAATTGCGGGTTTTGAGACCGATTTGCTTGATCTTGCAAGGGGCAAAGATGACAAGGGGCCTCATGGTGTAAGTTCCACTCATTCTTTCACAAACATGGCCAACATCGACTAACACACGCATAGCTCCCCAACCGCGACCAATACAAACACGTCATCTTCGCCCCCGATCTTAACAACGGCCTAGAAGCCAGCGTCTTCCCTTTTGCACGCGAGGCAATCGAGAAGAAAGACTGGGACGCCGCTGCCAAAGCGATCAAAAAGACGGCTGATATACTGAACCGCGCGAGCGACAGGCTCGGCTGAAATACGTATATGTGTGTATAGCAGAGTTGCATTTACATGGTGTTTTGGGCGTAATGAAAGAATGGCAACATTGCATCATTGGTTTGGGGGTCCATCTCGTATGTAGTGCTGGGCTTCGGCTTCATATGTTGGTATTATATTGATGTCAATTTTGGTGAACATCACCATCACCATTAGACAATTACGTCTAGTCATCTCGTCTCATATTGTACTATCCATATTAGTTATGCCTTATTGTGTTGATGGCGCATACAACCCCTTCTCTTTCTCGAGTTTCGCATTCTTCCTCCACCACCTCGCTTCTTAAGATTGACAACATACAAGGCGATGATATGACTTCCTCAAGAAGGATTGAAATATCGTAACGTGTTTCTCTCGACGTCTCTGGTGTCGACTCCGGCCTGGACGATTGGAAGAGAACGCAAGTTTATGAACGTGGTGAAGGCCGGTCTCATCATCCTGATAATTTTCTTGCATCAAGATAGTGTCGACTCTGATTGATCTAATGCGTCTGAATGGGCTCTTCCAAGAGAACCTGCTACTTGACAATGCATATATCAAACTATGAGAGCTTTGGGATCATCGAGGAATACTGATCCCGAGTGGTATTTGAACATGGCGCACTGTCGACTCGCAAGTCGTAATATTTAGTGCCGGGAGCCATCTTAGCAATCGGCGATCTAGTGGCTTTCGAACGTTCGATGGACTCTACTGTGCTCTCGGTTAGTCGTCTGCGACAGTGGTTTGGTGGTTAGAACGAATGTCTTCCGTAGCAATCTCTCGTTGTGTGCAGCCGAAAGTTAGTTTGAAGGTTTCGTGATGCTTTTACTACGATGCTTAAGCTTGTTTTGATTGTGGGGTATAAATCTCAAAAGTGCTAGCAGCCCGTTGAAATGGTAGCTGGGTAATCGTACGAGTAAGGCCAGTGCAAATCTCCACGTTGTGACTGTCCGAAGCGAAGCCTCTGTCCTAGTCGAGAACCGCCGCGGCTACGACCGAAAAACGTGGAGTCAGCCAGGCGCTAGAAGCACTAGTAGGTGACTAGTTCTTACGTACAGTCCAGCGAACACTCGGCCGCCCCGACAAGCTCCTCTCACTATGCTGAATAAAGGGCTTCATCCATCGGTTCACCGTTCAGCGGCTCGACTGACGCTGCCTCATGAGTTCGAGTGCTTGATGTCAGGCACCGCACCAGCCGGCACATCCACGTAAGACGCCATTCGACTTCCAGACCGAACAAACAGATATCCCCAGCCTGTGAGCAAAACGTATGCAACAACATTCATCAAGTACCGGTCTAGCATGCCGCTAAGTGATGCGCTGCACAACACACTTCTCGCTTCGAACACAAAGTGAGCCAGTGAAGATGAAAGCGCTCTGAATTCGATACAGCCAGCACGCCCGAAACACCTCATCGCGTTAGCGTTCAGCCTTAGCACCCCTGAGCAAATCAGCCCATGTACTACCAGCACCGCTTGGGATAATCCACTATTTTTACTCGCACAACAGCGAAGCCGGCTGACTAGACAAACAACATGCCCATGACGCCCAGCCTCGTGGCTTGCGTCGTTGGCTTCGGAAAAGATGTAGTGTCGCTGTATCTGCTCGATGGAAAAGCCACCAGCTGAAGTTTTGGCACGATGTGGACGCTTGCCGGCCTAGAATCGCTCGACATGGGGAACTATGCTCGCTTCTTTGCTTGGAGAAATCGATGACAGGTCATGAGACGATTTGTATAAGGAGACCGCTACGCAGCGATGGTGTTGAAATGAAACCACGTCTTCGAAGCGCTGCAAACGCACTCACACTCGTTCCATCCTCATTCAGCTCGGCCATATACTATTCTAGCTCACTATAGTGACCGTTGTTCAAACTTCCTTCTACTATCGTTATTCTGCTCTGTTGCGTCAACCAACCTCATATTAGCCAACGCCAAGCATCTTCTTTCGATCGCAATGTCCGGACCAGAAAGCAAACTCGGTGGTCTTTCCACCAGCATAGTCGCCGTAATTGCTGTGGGTGGTGTCGCGGGCCTTCTGGCACTCATCGTCGTCGCTGCTATCATTATGGATATACCAAAGCGTATGAAAAAGAAGAAGAACACGGGCATCATGGCAGCGGAAGAGATGGAGAAGAAGAGTATGGATATCGAAGAGAAGCCTATGGGAATCAATGAGATGGGAAAAGGCGCTCCCAAAGTGTCGACAACCCGAACATCGATGAGATCTCCGAGCCAATACTCAAGCACGCAAGTTGAACGGTCAACGTCGCCAGAGTGTCAATGCGCACATCCTTCGATAGTAATACATCCGTCGCCAGTATATTCGAGTACCTCGACGTTATCACAAGGTTATTGAAACCCTGCCATGTACCCCACGAACCTCTTGGATATAACGTTCCGTTTCTATACCATCCGGACCGATTTGGGCTTTCGGACAACTTTTACACCTTTATTCGGCGTTAGCATCTGTGAAGGCTTCACTAAATCCGAGCACATTTTGTTGCCACGAGATTAAGGCGTTGTGTTCGGAAGTGTGGTACCTTTTGTCTACACGCTGTATGGAGTTAACGGCTATAAGCGCTGGGCAACACGAAACTGCGAGCCTCGCGCATCAGCCTATCGCTTGCTCTAGCACTATTATCCAAAGTGCTGTAGTCTAGGCACCAGGTGCATTCTTCTTCTCTAGCACCCGATTCGCCACTGTCATACTGCATCATCGTCGTGCCAAATACAGATGGCATAGATTTCAGCTTTGTAAAATCAGTCAGCGTCAGCACTTGTAGTAATGAAGGCTTTGATACCCCTCGCGTAGAAGGAAGAAATTATTTGATTGTTGGTCTTTGCCATCTACTGTAGTGTTTCATATCGATGTGCTGCCCAATGTGTATGCTCTTGAAAGGGCAATTGCTTTCTCTCTTGCGTAGATCTCGTAACAACGACGCGTTAGGGGTAAGGATAGCATGTTGCTAACGCATACTACGACCAGGGCGAAATGTCTTAGGTAATAAGCACTAAGAAACGAGGCCACCGTCATGCCCCACGTTTCATACCCTACCAGTGGAGTAGAGTAGACGCTCTATCGAGGCAGCTGTCGTGGCCATTCCGTTCCAGTGCTACCGCTTACTTTCTACGATAAAGATATGGAAATGTACTCAATCTACATAAATACTCGAGTACCCCTTCCAGACTGAAGGTAGCACTTCTACAGGAACATCCAAAGCTCTTCCTCCTGACCTTTATTGAGCCTGCATTATTCTCATATTATTGCTCATCTCTGCTACATTCAAAACACCGTTCATGATGGCGGACTTCAAACCCTACAGCGAGCAGCCCGAGCTCCATACCAAAGCCCCTTACCGCGCTGCTATGCTCACCCAACCTGCAAATCTCAAGCAAGCGCTTAAAGACGCTCAAGCTGATGCGAGTAAGAGTCTCATGGGTATCGCACAAGGCATCCCAAGTACCTTTATGACGAAGTTGATCGCATCCACGAAGCCAGATTTCATCTGGTTCGATGTGGAGCATGGCATGTACAACCGGTTGACATTACACGAGTAAGTTGTCTTGTTAAGATGGTCAACCATGAGATTGTTTTAGGGCTGGGGTATACATGAGAGCATACCGCTGACCGATGCGACACAGTTGCATCCACGCCGCACAGCATCACTCGGAGGGAAAATCAATGGCCATCTGCCGTGTACCAAAAAATGACGAAATCAGCCTCACAACAGCACTTGATGCAGGTTGTGCCGGAATCGTCATCCCGCATGTTGAGACCGCCCAAGAAGTCAAGGACTTCATGAAAGAGATGTACTTTGGCGGTACGTCACCCTTTCTTCTCTTTATCTTCCCCATGATACTAAAACGTTTTTCTAGGCGGCAAAGGCCACCGTTCATTCAGTCCCTGGACCTTCACTCCTGGAATGACCCAGTCTCTCTACCCCAACGATGCCTACCAGGTGCAGACAGCGAACAATCACGTCTGTATCATCCCGCAGATCGAATCGGTCAAGGGTGTTGAGAACTGCGAGGAGATTGCTGCAGTAGAAGGCATCTCTGGTCTCATGTTCGGCCCTGGAGATTACATGATTGAGGCTGGTATGGATATCGATGGATTCTTGAAGGGAAACCCTGATCCCAAGTTCTTCGAGGCGATGGGCAAGTTCAATGCTGCGGCCGCCAAGCATGATTTACCTATCTTTGGGTAAGTTTATGGCCCTTTCCGATTTTGAAAAAGGTAGCTAATGATGATCAGTGGTGTGATGGGGGTAGACCAGATACCAATGGCCATTCAGTCAGGTATGCGAGCAATTGCTGTGCAGTTCGATGTCTGGGGCACTACACGACTCTTTGCAAATTCTTTGGAAGAGGGCTGGAAACATGCAAAGAGCTTCGAGGGAAACCCGAAACCGAGTATGGCGGACGGACAGGCGAAGACGCCTTGATAAGTTTGGTTAATGAATGGAGGAGCTCGATTTTCTTGTGTTGTGAGGTAACAGATGAATGTAGCTAGGGAGGTTGTACTCCTAATCCCACAATGAGTAATGATAGACTGAACATCTGACGCAGTTCGCAGTCAGCTGTGTTACCTTCGCGAGTTGTTGCTGTGCCGCTGTCGCCACTGTTAATGGATTTCGGAAGACGCGAGAGGAGGAACCGATATAGCGTAGGGATAAATCCGACTTTACCGTAGTGCAAGGCAGAAATCCTGGAAGTGATCATTGTTGCACACCCCAAAGAGGACATTGATTTTCCTGCCACATTAGGCGTCCGGTTGAAGGCCACCTTAACGAGGCTGTGTGCGTACTTGGCACTCTGAGAGTTTGCCAATCAGCTCTACCGGTGCGCGGAGCGTTTCTTGAACTCTATGAGCTATACTCGAAAGAGCTAGCCGGGTGCTACTCACCATGAGAAGGATGGACATAGCCTTGTGATGCCATCGCCGGGCGGTGATATAAGTAGAACAATTCGATCGTCTTGCAAATATTGGTAGTGCCTACCGACATTCCCTTTGATACAGTATCAATTTGCATGCGTTGGTGCAAATTTGTATATCAAGATATCACTTCCTCATCATGTCCTTCCCAACTTCAATAAATCTTGACAACTGCGAACAAGACTCATCCAACAAATACATTTGCAGCACGTCTGCTCCGAACAGTAACTACGGTTAGTATATCTTGAGGTCTTGTCTCACGTTCGAATACCTAATTCTGGATACTAGAAAATGCAAAGAACGATGCGCAAAGCGCCTTCGGTAAGTTCATCTTTACAGCATTGAAACGGTCCAGTCCGACTGACTACTGATAAAGACAATGCCGTGAAAGCGCAGCAGAGAACAATTGGCATAGGCGTGGGGGTTGGAGTAGGACTGTTTCTCCTTTTCGCTGGCCTGGCTATCTGGGCGTTCCGACGGCATAGCAAGAAGCGAACGCGACAAATAAACGAACAAGCACAGACACAGGCGAGTGTGCTACAGCCGAAGATGTCACAGACGAACCCGCCGCAACCGTGGATAGGTCAGCGAGATGAAGTGGACGGGCTAGCATATAGGACTGAGGTTGAGGCTCAAGACAAACCGCACCAGTACCAATCGTACCAGGCCCAGGAGATGAACGCGAATCCGTACGGTAGCCAGTTCCAAGGTGGTCCGATATTGGAAGCGCAAGGAACACATGATGCTCAGGAGATGCCGTTGAGCTATAAGCACCATCCGCCGCAGGAAATGCCAGGAGGCACACAGGACAGGGGTGTTGAGAGGCGATGAGTTAGTTCGTGTTGCAATACCAGAATTTCATCTCACATCAGCGTTCTGATGTAAGGGCACGACATTTTGACTGATAACAACATGCTTCGGATAGAGCGGACAGTTCCAAACTATGTGGTTAGTGGTAGAGGTTTTGGATGGTTCCAGCCGGTCGCCTCCACCTCGCGTCAAATGTGGCCCGTGCGTTACCAGCCATCACCCAACCACCACATTTCCAGCCTTCGAGAAATTACGCAACACAACGGCAGCTACTATGGATCTAATAAACGGATACCTACATCGCAGTTTCCACTCTGTTCTCTGCCAGCGCATACCAACACCGAACCCGTGCTCAACACGTGTACACGACTATCAACGGCGCCGGACAGTCAATAAGCCTCTTTGATACTTTCAAGACCATGCTTCTCAACCCCCGAACTCTGGCTCTGGCCGCTCTTTTCTCCACACTGGTTACTGGTCGGCCTTTTGACTCACCAAAACCGCGCGATGTTGGTCGACGCGATAAGAGCTATTCGGTTGTCAATGTTGGTGGAGATTCATCAACCCCAGCACCTGCGATAGCCACTTCGGTGATTGAGACGACAAAGACCGTCGAAGTCGTCGGTCCGGGAGCAACAGTCACTCAGGAAGTTACTGCGACCGTCATCAAGCCTCAGCCGGCGCCAGCACCGACAACCAGCTGCAGCTCGAGCAGCGCATCGAAGTCTTCGTCTTCGTCAACACCCGCTCCAACAACGACGTCGACGTCGACTCCGGGAGGATCTTCATCAACTCCCAGTCCGTCGGTACCTTCATCAACATCCATCGCAACATCAACCATCTCAAGCTCGTTCTCTAGTAGCATCTCGACACCAATCGAGACGCCGAAGCCAATATTCGTTACCGTCACAATATCGAAGGGCGATGGTCCTACCGAGTACTATGACGATGGCATGTGGCACACCCACTACCGCATCAAAACGTTCGAGGCTGCCGCAGTGGTCACGGCGGCCCCGTAGCCGGCTTCACGAGCTTGTTCTCTCACACCCCAGAGGAAGGCATTATCCCGAGGTGCGTTGAATGGAGCCTTCATTCTCTTCTCTCGCTTGGGCGGTGGACTGGTCCGATCCGCCTGTTCTTTTCTTCTACTGTGTTTTACGATATATACGAGTAATGGTTGGAAGCCATCATATGATGGCGAGGATTGGAAGTATGATGACTAGACGCGTCTGCGAGACGAGCACACATGTACAATTAGATTAGATAATAGATTCATGAACAAGCGCAAGTTTTGAAATGGAAGAGTGATGGCTAGACTAGTGATGACGCAGCTCGAAGGGGAAGCTCCCATCCCTGCTGGCTTGGCGAACGGTTACGCCCAAGGCGGCGGTGCCTATCCACCACGACCAGCTCTCCACAACCCCGGACGATCCGCTTCTCTCGCACACAATGGCGTCGCCGCCCCCCGTAGAAGACCAAGCTCGTCTGCTCGAAGATGCCCTCGCCGTGGTGCGCCAGCAGACGATGCTCATGCGGCGGTGTCTCGAGACGCCGGGCAAGTTGATGGATGCGCTCAAGTGCAGGTACGCGTGTGACGTGATATGAGGGCTGTTCTGGCTATGCGCTGCAGTGCTAATGACTCCAATGCACAGCTCGACACTTGTCTCCGAACTTCGGACCAGCAGCCTCGGCCCGAAGCAGTACTACGAGCTCTACATGGCCGTCTTCGATGCCCTGCGCCATCTCGCCGTCTACCTCCGCGAGAACCACCCCGTAAATCACCTCGCCGATCTCTACGAACTCGTCCAGTATGCCGGAAATATCATCCCCCGCCTGTACCTCATGGTCACCGTCGGGACCGTCTACATGGCTATTGAGGATGCGCCCGTCAAGGAGATTATGAAGGATATGATGGAGATGAGTCGCGGAGTCCAACACCCTATCCGTGGTCTGTTTTTGCGGTACTACCTTGCGGGTCAAGCACGCGACTGCCTTCCATCTGGCGACAGCGAGGGGCCCGAGGGCAATCTCCAGGACTCCATCAGCTTCATCTTGACAAACTTCGTCGAGATGAACAAGCTGTGGGTGCGACTACAACATCAGGGACATTCGAGAGAGCGCGAACAGCGTACCAAAGAGCGACAGGAACTGCAACTTCTCGTGGGAAGTAACCTGGTCAGACTCAGCCAATTGGTTGACTTGGAGAACTACAAGAAGATCTTGAACCCGTTGCTAGAGCAGATTGTACAATGTCGGGATGTTCTAGCGCAAGAATACCTACTGGAGGGTATGTCACAAACTGTGGACACCCGGAGACCGCTAACATGCAGCAGTTGTCACACAGGTTTTCCCTGACGAATTCCACCTACACACGCTCGATCAGTTCCTCTCTGCCGTTGCGCGCTTGAACCCACATGTAAATGTTAAAGCCATTGTCGTGGGCCTCATGGACCGATTGTCGTCGTATGCGCAAAGAGAAGCCGAGTCCGAAAGCCCAGAACAGCGCAAGAAGACGGAAGAAGAGTCGATAGCACAGCTCATGGAACAAATGCGGATAGCAAAGGAGAAGAAGGCGGCCGAACCAGAGCCAGCGCCAGCGCAGCAGAACGGAGACGCACCAGAGACTTCGGAGACGGAACCAAGCACAGAAGAGGCTTCCGAAGAACCACCCAAACCAACGGATACCTCTGCTGAGACTGAAGAAAACCAAGCGACCGAGACAGATGGTGACATCGAGAAGAGGCGCGGTATACCCAACAACGTCAAACTGTTCGAGATCTTTCACGAACAGGTACAGACGCTGGTTAAGATGCAGCGGTTGCCAATACAGGACACAATCGGATTACTGGTGTCGCTGGCAAACCTCGCCTTGTATGTTTTACAAATATTTATGATGATGATGACGACGATTGTGCTAATTCTACTAGAAACATCTATCCCGAAAGACTCGATTACATTGACCAGGTCCTTACCTTTGCAAACCAAAAGGTCGCCGAATACCAAAACAGCGCCGACTTACACTCACAAGCCACCCAAAGCCAGATCCTCAGCCTCCTCCTTTCGCCGATCAAGACCTACATCTCTCTCTTCACCGCGCTCGCGTTACCGAACTTCATCCCTCTTCTACATTCACAACCGTACCCGACTCGGAGAGCAGTTGCTGGCGAAGTTGCAAGGAGTCTGATGCGGAATCAGACCTTCATTGCATCTGTAGAGAACCTCGAAAGTGTGCTGGAGATTCTCAAGGTCCTCATTCGTGAAGGCATCCAACAAGCCCAAGGATACCCAGGTGGACCAATTCAAAGACGAGCACAGGAGACAGAGGAGACAATAGAAGAGCAAGGATGGCTAGCGCGGATAGTACATCTCATCCGTGGCAAGGACAACGATACCCAATTCAAGGCGAGTATAATTAATGTTCAACCAAGATGCACACTAACAGCTCTCTCAGCTCCTCCAAGCTGCGCGCAAGTCTTTTGCCGAAGGCAACGAGCGTGTCAAATACACATCCCCGGCCATTATCACAGCATCACTCAAGCTCGCACGTCAATACAAGAAGCGCGAACACTTCGAAGACAACTGGCAATCGCAGTCATCAGCTCTTTACAAGTTCATGCACAACACTCTATCGACGCTGTACACCCGCGTTACAGGCTCCGCAGATCTCTCGCTCCGCCTCTTCATCGCCTGCGGTCAAGTAGCAGATCAAAACGGTTTCGAGGAGGTCGCGTACGAGTTCTTCGCGCAAGCATTTACAATATATGAGGAAGCGATTAGCGATTCAAGAGCGCAGTTTCAGGCCGTGTGCGTCATTGCGAGTGGCCTCCATACAACGAGGAACTTTGGCAAGGAGAACTACGATACCTTGATTACAAAGTGCGCGTTGCATGGAAGCAAGCTACTCAAGAAGCCAGATCAATGTCGTGCGGTATACCTTGCAAGTCACCTGTGGTGGGCGACTGAGATTAGGGCGTTGGGCGAAGAGGATCCAAAGAACGTGAGCGAAATCAATTCTACTCTTGACAAGATTGATACTGACAAGTATAGCTCTATCGCGATGGCAAGCGTGTGCTTGAGTGCTTACAGCGTGCTCTCCGCGTGGCCGATGCATGCATGGACGCTGCGGTCTCTGTTGAGCTGTTTGTTGAGATACTCAACAGATATGTCTACTACTTCGACCAAGAGAACGACGCTGTAAGTTGCACTCTTCTCCTTTCATATGAATGTCACTAACAACGAGCAGGTCACAACGAAGTACCTCAACGGCCTCATCGAGCTCATCCACTCAAACTTACAATCCAACGAGAATGCTTCTTCGCTTGAGAACCCAAGGAAACACTTTCAGCGTACCCTGGATTACATAGCGAGTCGAGAGTACGAAGGCGTGGTCACGGCACCGAAGTAATGTTTGTAGGAAAAGGAGACGCGGTGCCTATTTTGAGTTGGAACTCCTTGTACGACTACATGTACATGGATATTGCACGCTCGTATACCAAGTACATAGCATGGGAAAATCGAGAATGTTAATGAAGTCGAATGTGTTGTAGTGTGAACGCGTCTGTGCTGATATCTTCATAATCGCTTGCAAGGAGAATAGTGACGATCAGCTTAATCGCAACTAGCCAAGTCTATCATGAGCACACGTCAGAAGAGGAACGAAAGTGAGAATGTGTTGGTGCTAGTGCATTTACAGGTTGTCAGACTCTGTCAAATTTCATGTCCTCTTATCTTTGCATTAACAATCCGTTTTCGATCTTCAAAAAGGAGCAAGTGTTTGGTGTATGAACATGCATGCATTCTGTCCTTCCCAAAAATAAAGGTAAGCCGATGGCGCCGTTACCTGAATCTTGACTTCACAGTGGGACATGGGAAAGAGAGGGCAGCATTTTATATGGCAGATATTGTAGAGTTAAGAGTAAGACAAGTAAGAAACCTACTTGCGCCAGTTCATTCTCTGGAGGAGAGCGCCATAGACTTCATATGAGCTTGACGTCCCATGTCGTGTACGCTTTGAGCCTCTAACTTTCCCACGACTTCTCCGAATAACGAAGTTCTAGTTCCTCTACAGAACTAAGACATGGTCATGTCAGGCAGCTTTCCCTTGTAAAACTCGGAACGCCCCTCGTAATCGAAATCCAATCCGACACATCCAAACTCGACCATTTTCTTATCGAAGTTCTGGTACGTGTACTCGATGAACATGTCAATACCCACATCGTAGTTAGTACAAGCTCTATCAGATTCACATTTTGGGAGGACTCACCACACCCAGCACCACCGGCGGTCCAAATCTCCGCACCATTGAAGCAACCCCTATCAACGACCCACCTGCGATCTACCCACTCCGTACCCGGAAACATCTTGCTCGCCACGTCCAACATGACCCTATTTGTAGTAGCCTTCTTCCCCTGCAACACCCCACTCCTTGCCAACCACTGCAGATTTGAAAATACGAAGTCAGTGTATGTCTCACATGCATTTCGTATAGGCACAACTTACCATGGCTCCCGTACATGTCGTTAAGATGACTTTGGTCTGCTTACTTGCCTCCTTCAAGAACGACAGGCTCTCTTCTTTGACAGTAGCTGGGTTTGGGCCACCGAGGAGCAGGATATCGAGATCGCGTGGAGCAGTCGCATAGGTGTGCGTGGGACGCACGTACATGTCTGGTGTGACATGGGCGGAATCCATGGAGGAAGAAATATAGAGAAAGTCCATGGGGATGGCATGGGGCACCATGGAAGCGAACTGCGGATTCATAGCTGCGATCAGATTGATGGTTTGGGGAGTCAAGTTGCCGAGGAGGTCAAGGCCCGCAAGGTCCTAGATATGGATGTACAAAGTCAGTGTATATCTCTGGTACCTCTGCAACAGAGACACCCACGGTCATTTGAGTTTCTTCGTAGAGGACGCCGACGCGGATGGGAGTCTTGGTTGGGCACATTTTGGTGATATTGGGAGATTTGGATTATGGTCAAAGTTCGTGGGGTTGTTGGTGGTTCGAAATATTGGTCATTGTCTTCAAGCACTTTATAAAACTTCGATTGTACGCAACGGATGTACAGATGCATCCCGCTCCGCTTGTAGTGGCATGTAGATCCACGCATCATTTTCATCCTTCAGTGCTTTCGTGCACTTCCAGATTGAATTTACTGTCACGAACGAATAGTGGCTGCAAGAATGTTGTTGCCTGAAATGTGAGGTGGAGACAAAGAACCGGAGCGGATATGAGAATCACGCCGTGCCGCTTAGGCAACAGGTAATGGGAATTTGATTGTATAAAACTAGACGCCTAAGAGACTTGGATAGGAAATTCTCAGATCTGAGTTGTAGGTATGTACAAGAAGGAAAACGTTCGATAGGGAACGGTGTATGGACCACTGTATGCGTAGCGCACCATAGGTACAAATTGCTAGGGGCACCAGTCAAGTGTCGATATACAATGGATAACCATTAGAGATTAATGAAAGTCATGATTTCGTGGGCACCGCTGCATCAGTACCTGAGCGGCGTTTCTGAGCTGAAACGACGGAATTCCTCCCTCGCCAATTCTCGCTCTCTTGCATCGGAGCTCGTCGAGCTATTATCAGTACTGTACTTTGAACTTGTCTGTCGTGTCATCATGTAGGAAGCGGGTGTGACAGGGGTGATAGGAGTCTTGGGCGTCTTGGGTTCCTCTGATCCTGCGACTGAGGCAGCACGTGTTCGCTGGAGCGATGCGTCTACGATTCGAGTAGAATCGCTACTCATGTGGTTGAGTAGTGAGATAATCTCCAGACTAGGACTTCTTGCCGGACTGGGGCGGTGAGGAGGTCTGATCGACGACTCCGTAGGCCTTTGAATTGGAATTTCGGGTATCTTTTCGACAGCAGGGGTTCTTCGACCCCCCTGAGAGTTAGCGCTATTCGCGCGACTGCGAATGACCTCTTTCTGTGGAAAGGTAACTCGCTTGCGGGCATTTCGAGACGGTGAGCGACCATCGTTTGTAGAGGGTAGAGTCGGCGTATAAACCTGAACTGGAGACTTTCGATGTGATCTTGGAGGTGGTGTCGCAAGGCTAGATTTTGGTCTTTCACTATTCATCTCCAACTTTGCTAGGGCGTCGGTCACCGCATCACCTACGTCTATCTCGTTTAACTGGTGATGCTCAAGTTCGTAGGTCTCTCGTTGTGGTGTAGCTCGGCGCGAGGGCGGGTTTGTATGCTCCAAAACGGAGCTTGCATTCGGCGGTGGGGTAGAAGCTGGCAATGGCCACTCGGCAGGAAGCTCAGGAACTGGAGGCACGTTGGCTTCGGCGCGCGGAGTCTTGTCGTTTAGCGTCGATTTAGAGGAGGTCGCGAATGAAATGGTGGTATGCCGACTTCTCGAAGAATCGCCCGAGAGGCGCTTGACTTTCCAGCTGCCTGTCTTGTCATCCACTTCTAGTGTAGAGTGAGGGTATTGCAGCGAATCAGCTAGTGTCTGTGTATCCTCGAACACTGAGGACTGATATCTGTGCAATGTCTGGTTTGAGTCGTTCGGTTGCAGCATTGAAATAGGAAGTACGGGCGCTGGGAGAGGTAGATTCTTCTCGTTCTCGTCGTGCAGGTCGATACGACTTCTAGAATAGTCGCCTGACTTTCTTGCTCCGTTTGGCACATAGAAACGTAGGTCGACACGGACTACAGCGAACATGATGATGACGAGGATCTCAGTAACAAAGTTGAAGCAGTAGAAGCTTCCCTTGCTCAAGTACCATGGTAACTCGACAATGCCGCGCTGGACATCGACCAATGGGATTGCAGGAATCCAAGCCAATACGCATCTGAATATCTGTCCAATCGAGAGGAGGGACACCGAGATGAGTAGGATGGTGATGTTATATCTCAGTCGGCCAGCACCAAACTTGTCAATTTCTGTTCGTGGGATGAGGAGAGAGACGCCGACGAGAATAGCTGGTGCGACGCAGAATATGGTGAAATACGTCTGCGCAATGACGAACAAAACGTGGAAGGCATCGAGTTTACTTTGGTTGCGCGTAAAGAACTGCCATATCTGGCTGACAATGAGCATGAGCAGTGTAGCTACCAGCACGACAAGCCCGCCTCTGTGGAAGATGCGGTACGGTGTTGACCATCCTAGACGTGCGTGTTGGGCGCGGACAACGCGTTGGACGAAGAACCAGTTCACACCGTACAAGATGATGGTACCGATGTAGACGAAGATGTTCGCTGCGATAGCAAGACCGACATTCCTAGGATAGTTGGACCATGCTATCCGCAAGGACATTGTAATGACTCGAATCTTGCAGAGACCTGCGGCATGTTAGTCGCCGCCATACCAATCGGAGGGTGTGGTGGGAGTATACCAAGAATAGCGCCATTGAATATGAACTTATGCCCGCGACCCTTGTTGCCCTTCAGAATCTTGATGTGGATGATACCAAACATGAGGTATAGGATAAGTAAAACGACTGAGACAGGCACATCAGGCACGATCATAGGTGTTCCACCCAAGCCGGCATTCAGAGGTGCATACGGGGGGCCTCGTCCAGCTTGCCCAGATGCTCCAGCCTGGGTATGGTTAGTTATGCGTAGCAGGTGGCTGAAGTTGACATCACTCACTGGAGGACCCTGGGTTCCTTGCTGCGAAGACATCTTTGCCTGTTTGATGTTCGACGTATGAAACGTTTGCTGCAGAGGAGGTTGGAGAGGACCAAAAAGCTCCACGTTGGAGGCGGGAAAGAGGTGGTGTATATCAGGTTCTACGACCACTCGACTGCTGCGGTCTAGACGATAGTATGCATCGCTTAGGGCAGGGCACCAGTAGGCCCAGATAAGCAAACCAGATGACGAGTATGCAGTCAAGATTCCATGTCTGCTTCTAATTGGATGGGCAATGGTTCCATATGGTGTGCGCGGCCTATCCGCAGCCGTGCTTAGATGTGGGCAGCACAACGCCTTCACTAAATCGGGGTGCCGGCTTCTTCGGAGAGTGGATACTTACCGCACCCGTGGTACGCGAGCGATCATTCCGCTGATCTAACACTTTGCTATTCTCAACGCATAGTATGCTTTTTCTCGTCGGGCCTCCTGTCTATGGTGTCCAGGAGCTGCCACATCTTGCAGTATGTAAGACATGCTATTCTTGAATAAGAGCATTGCCTGAGTCTCAGTGTAGTCTGCTGTGCCTCAATAAGGCGCCTCTATGTTGACGTTATCGAAGGCTGATGGTAGTACCGGGTCTCCTCAGTGATGCCGGAGATCTGCAACAGTCCCTTCCTGAGTGGAGGATCGGCGAAAACGTCAAACGAGCTCCGACCAGATGAACCCAAAACGGACCACTATCTGGGGCACGGTGGTGGATGATGCGTGTATCGGGTGTTTTGCAGAATAAAAGACCGATTGTGCTTTTATCCTGAAATAGAAGTTGCATGTGAAACTGTAGAGGTAGTCGAAGAAAGATGGTGTCGCCCTTGCATGAAGGACCGGATTAGGATGTTTCCCCTGTTGTCGAGCCAGGGGGAATGGAGTTGTCGTTTGTGAGGTGGGCAATGGTTGTCCTGAGGTGTCGTGTGTGGCTGATGGCAGCTACCCCAGATTTTCGGCGCGGTGAAACTTGTCGGAACCCTGTAATGAGGTCGGAACTTGACTTTATGTCATGTCCAACAATAACGTGTGCCACATGCAATTCGGTCAATGCTTCGTTCAAACCCTGTGGTAGTTTTCCGCGATTTCCTAGTCTATCATAATGCCGCCGAAGTCCAAGCAACGTGCGGTCAAGCCCGCCAACTCTAGCTCCAAGAAAGCCATCCCACAGCCCTTCACCGCAGCTCCGGCCGAACTCGACACCCTCCTCTCCACCTTTGACCGCTCGCTTGTATACATATCACACGTCGATGTGCATCCAGCATGGTTCAAACGGCGTATATTCGCCGTCCCTGTCCTCCTGAACACGACCATCCTCGCGCTTATACTATGGCGCCTGTACGCAATCGGACCCCACTACTGGGCCATTATCCTCTCCGTCCTCGGAAACCATAACGAAACCACCATATACTGGGCCACCACACCATGGGCGACTTTGATATGGAGGGTGGGAAAACGCATGCTCATGTTCATGCTGGACTTCTTGCTGTTCCGCTTCGTGGCACTCTGGCCATACACTTTCTTTGTGGAGCAGCCAGGCAACCCAGTGAGCTGGCGGTGGAACGTGGGGTTCAGAGACGACGAAGTATATGTGAGAGTGAGCAGGTCTTGGGGAGCGAAAGACCTGCTTGGAGAGGCCGAGGGCGGGAGTGGCCGGGCCGGAGCGGACAATCCCTTCTTCAAGACCAGAGTTCTACCCGCGGTTGACAAGTCGAGATTAAGAGAAAAGACGGGGTACCTACTCATGGATGCAGACTTTGATCTGGATTTCTTTGGCATGGTCGCTGCAACGCAACTCCTTGATCGCAAGGACATTACGCTTGATCACCTCCGCAAAAGCGTCTTCGTTTACGTCGGCGACCCTGAGACAGAGAATGGACAATGGGCTGTCTGGGAATGCGCAAAGCTTGACGAAGGCTCGGAAACGGAAGCGAGGGACAAGGTCATACAGTTTAAAGAACGGCTCACGGCTATGGGCAAGGAGAGCTTGTTCTTCCGGTGGGTCGAGCTCATCCAGTACGAAAGTAATGCGCCCGGCGGTTTTACGCAAGAGAGGCAGGTTGCAGCTGCGGAGAAAGTGAAGAAGATGTTCGAGGACGAAGGTGTGGATTTCGAGGTGTTTGAAAGGGAGATTGGGGGTATGTATGACATTGCTGGTGCTTAGCCTCGACATGTCGTCGAGCTTGAACACAGAAGAACGCAGTACGATTGGGCGGCATAGACGATATCAAAAAGATACCCAAGTGTTAAACATTTCAGATTTACATATCCCTCGTAAAGTCATGAGTGACGCGCGTGAACAAACGCCTGAGATGCGATTTGACTTCTCCCTTGACTTCATCCCCTACTCCTAAGCATCTTCCCCAACGAACCACCCAAGATCTTCGCCTCTTTACTTCTTGATCTCAGCGTCGGACTCGCATGCCTAGACTCCCGAGTCTTAGTCTCTGTAGGCGAAGTCTCCCTGCGTCTCCGTGTAGCAGCACCTCTGACTTCTGCGCTGCTGGAGGAGTTGAGCGTATCGCTACGCTTCCTTAGACGGCGAGTTGGACTCGAGGAAGAGGTCTGAGGATTTGAATACGATTGAGAGGAGGTGTGGGGAGATACAGAGGTAGACGTCGCCCTACGTCTGTGCTTCTCCTCACCATGCTTGGTTTCTGGCGTCCGAGCCACTGCAGGGCTAGGTGTACGTGTCCGTTCTCGTGCTCCTTGTAGTTGTTGTGTCCTTTCCTTCTCTGCTGCCACACTTCTTCTCTCCATGTCCTCCAGTTCGTCGATAGATACCTGCACCACCTTCTTCGCCTCGATTTCTTCTGGGCGTCTTCTTACAGGCACATCGTTTCTTGACGCGGCATACGCGTCTAGTATCTTCTCCACTTCTTTGCGATTGGCATCTGTGCTTGCTAGACGGACGACCTCTAGAACAAGGAGGAAGGCGAGAATGTAGCCGACGAAGAAGCCGGTTCTGGTCCAAAACTCAGGGTTTACAAGGAAAGAGAAGAGTTTGATAGTCGTGACGAACATTTTGGCCGTCGACCGTTCGATTGGCTAAAGACTGTAGTATGATATGTCTAGAAGTCCGCCAGAGAGCAAAGCTGACAGTCGTGAGCGAGGGGCGGCCGATAAGACTGTGTAGTAGTAATCCTGTTCGACCCCAAATTACGGCGCGAATGCGACGTATTCGTCAATAAGAAGTGAATGAAAGTGTTGTGCGGCCCGCGCTCGAAGGATAAGAATAGTGTTACACCGCGACGTCTGCAAGTTGTTAGACTTGATTCACGTTGCTTTTACCTGCTCTCGCGCAGCAGCGAGCCCCTCCGCCTTTTAACCATCATGTCAAGCCCCCACAAGCCGCCGCACACTGAGACACCGTAAACCCACAAGGTACGCGTTCCAAGTCCGGCCCTAATCCTGCGAACGACATCCCAGATCAAAAGCCTATCTATGGTTGGGTTTGTGGGAGGATTGGCGGGCGGTGCTTGAAACCAATCAGCATGTTTCAGATGGGTTGTTGCAAGGATGTCTGGGGTAGCACATGTTTGGAGTCCGCGACACCATGCCAGATGCAGAAGTAAGCTTGCCTAGAAGCGAGGGGCGCGCGCCAATAGACTGGGGTAGCGGCGCGATGGTGTGTCCACACGGGCCTGAAGTTTGGCGTCTGTCGCTCATCATTAAACTCTGGCTGAGCAATCTACACATGGCGGCTTGTATAGCTTGGAGCTGAAAGAAGGCAAGGTCTGGAAAGAGCGCACAGCATCATGTGCCTCGGAGTAGCGCTGCTCACGATACCACGGAAGTGCACGCCCTTGCATTCGGAACGCTCCAGCAAATCACCAGAAACTATACAATTATCCCACCCATCAAAGCACGGGTTCGATATAGAATCTAGAAGAGACACGAGTAGTATCTTGAGCTAAAGGCGCCATGATCGATCGATCGTGATTTACAAGATCACACATCTCTGGACAACGTCAGTAGGTAGACAGAGAGATCCGTGCAAAACTCACCCTTCGTTGCTTGAGTCTCTCGATATCATCTTCCGCCTTTTTCAGCTTCTCGATGAGATCGTTAAGATCTCCCTCCAGCCTAGCTCTCATGGCAGCATTGTCTGCAGCAGTCCTCCGAAGATCCTCTTCCAGCTCCGTTATACGGCTCGTGTCTCTAAATATCATGGCCTTGATATCTGTGATGAGTTGTATCCCGACTGACGTAGTCGAAAGGTAGTAACCGTTGCCCACAAGCTCTGTTTGGAGCTGAAAGGGGCGGGCTTGTTGCGAAAGGACCGCCTTGGACCATAGAATCCCAAAACTCTGGTGATTCAATCCTTTGCTGAACGTGTTGGTCAGCAGCGGCTTGGTCAACCACGGTACTCCACATCGTGGTAGCAACCACGATACTACGATACACGTCCATTCCACAGATTCTCTCGTATAATCTGTTCCGCCTGCGTTCGGTTCTGTATACGCGTATGCCATCCACCGACTGAAGGAGAATCACGCCCTGCAACAGCTGACCGGCGCTAAACGTCCTCCCCACATAATCTCCTATAAGAGTGAGTATATCTGTGTCAGTACGGTATGTGTCGTCCCAGCCTGGTGTGTCGATAAGATTAACCCATGCATTGTCGACTAAAACAGATTTCGGTGTTATGTCCTGCGTGCCTAGATGCCTGTCAGCTAGTGAGTGGCACAACTATTGGTGGTGCATTATCTACATGCTTCAATACCATGTCCCACTCCAAGATCATTCCTGCCGGATGCGACGTTGATGAATGTCGATTTTCCAGCGCCATTCACCCCAATAACTGCAATGAGAGGATGGCTGCTCATGGTCTTAGGCCTGGAAGACGCTGTTTGGTAGCTTGCGATGGAGCATTGAATGAAAGTATCGACGACCACAGAGTTATTTACAATTTTATCAGGACACCTTCACTTGGATCTATGACCTGTGACGTGCCGACCCGGACAACGCACATCACTCTGCATGTAGCAGATGGCCCGTCACGACAATGCCGTTACCAAATCTCGGTAAGAATTCCTGGTCTGCAAACATGATTGATTCGAGGCCTGTAGAGAACTAACCCTTCTTTCTAGAGAGAAGACTGGCATCCTAGTACTGGGACCGACAGGAGCTGGAAAGTCCTTGTTCATTGCCACAGTCACAGGCTCACCTGTAGTCATTGGGCACGATGTAACGTCTGGTAAAATCTCATACTTAATCTTTAGTTACACCTTTGACCCCATCCAGAAACCAGGATTTGTCGTGCATGGAAATGCGATGTGAGTCAAAACCATTCGGTCGATCTTATTGACACACCAGGTTTTGACGATACGATCAGACTAGGATTAGAGATCCTTTCTGAAATCGTGGAGTTTCTTCGTCAGAATCAGCACCACATTGCAGGTGTAGTCTACCTTCACCCTATACAGGAACGTCGTCTGACCGGAACGTTGCGACTGAACCTCCACCTGCTGCAATCTATATGTGGTGAGCATTTCTACTCTCACCTGGCGATTGTATCAACGCTTTGGGACACGTTGCCACACGGTTCACCAACGATCGAAGCCGAACGACGACAGAAGGAATTCAGACAAGGGGACGATCCCGTCGTTTGGAAGGACATGCTGGATAAAGGCTCTGACTACGGGCGATATATTGGGGTAGACTGCTCAAGTAGAGCGATCATCACGTCGCTACTGAGCAAGCATCGTGCTCCCCCTTTGTTGTTAGAGCTGGAACTCAAAGACCGCGAACGCGCACCCGAAGACACGAGCGCGGGCTCGGTCCTCATGGCTGAGGCGAAGGCACGCGAAGAAAAGCTGCAGCGAGAGTTGAAGGAGGAACAAGAAGAGGCCCAAGAGCTGCACGGGAGGCTACAACAGAACAACCAGTTAGCGACCGAAAGCCGAGGCGTGGGAAACGGGATTTCCCAAGGAGACAGGGAAGACCAGCGCGGAATCGTAAGGAGACTCTTCGGGTGATGGTGTTCATAAAGTTTCTTTTCATTTTCGCTAGATCATGTTGAAACCAAGGGTGGGATATGTTATAATTTCATTTCTTCGGCAGTCAATCAATGACCTGTGGATAAGCCAACCAGATCCTTGTCGCTCGCCTTGATATCCAACACGCTACCATAGTGATACAATCATGGCGTATGCAACTCCTGTTCCCGATCCAGACCCTTGACAAACAAAACGCCTCGCTGAACCAATGCCACAAAAGAAAATAATGAATGACAACAACGGCCGGACGCTTCTCTATGCTCATCGGCCTCCTGGCAAAATTTCATCTTCAAACATGCTATGATCCCAGCCCTTCTCTTCTAAAAGTTTGGCCGCTTCTTCACTAATCCAGCGGTTTTCTTTTATAGTATTTGTACTTGTTATGGTCTGGCTGGCGCTGTGGTTGACAAGATGCGCTTCTTCGAAACCAAAGAAACATGCCCACATTGTAGCGCCAATCCATGAGAAGAAGGAAGATATTGGAACCCACCAACTTTGGATGAAGGTCCGGTAGATAAGGGTTGGAATAACAAAGGGGTATTTGGGAGCATTTACGTTGACGCTGAATGGGTAAGGCGACGAGTAAGCGTACATGGGCTGGCAGTACATTTCACTGTGGAGTAGGTCAGTAAGTTTTCTTTGACGCAAGAGGGGCAGACGCCCAGGTACATACCAAGCGATCTCTTCACTCATCCACCAAGTGAAAAGAAGTATCAAGCAAATGCTCAAGCCTGTAAGCCCGCCCCATATTCTCCAAGGACTGCCTGACGCTTGTCGCAGGATCTTCAATCGTTGTTCCCAAAACAGACCCTTGGACCATTTCCACATTGAGAAAGTCTGAATATGGCCATCAATCGCGCAAGGGCATGTGCGGCTAATCACTTTGACCTTCTCGCCATTCTCCCCTTCTTCCACATGCTCTACTTGGTCTTCGACGCGTTTCATGCCACGACTTGCATCGCGGATGCTGGTTCGCGCTGCACGGAGGCGGTCGTTCATGCGGTGGAGATGTAACAATTCCTGTTGTCGCTGTCGTTCTGCTTCATTGCGGGGAGTCTCAGTTGGTAGTTGAAGGCCTTGAAGCGTATCTTCTTCCATTGGGCTTTCGGCAGATGGAGTGATGAGGTCTTCCAGAGAGTTGATAGTTGAGTCGCCATAGTCCACCGACGGTCGCCTGACCTTGGATTTCGCTTCGTCGACAAGGGATTGTAAGGCAGACTTGGGAAGGTGTGGACGAAGGGGCTCTATAGCGGCGGCTTCAGATGGCTCCTCCGCAACGGGGGCCGGGCCTTTTTCAGATGGTCTCTGCCTGGGCGGACTGGCTTTTCTAGGCGAACGTGAGCGTGACCTCGACGTCACGCCAGGTCTCTGTACAGTACGTGGGCCTGGTGTATCGACCCAAGCACCAGTCACCACTGGTGTCTTGGGATTCAAGACAGGTCGCTCTTTGGGCATGGGTGTAGCATCTACACTACGGGCATCATCTCCTGTAGCCTCTGGTGCTGGCGCTGGCTCTGACGACCGTTCAGCTTCCTTTGGTTTGTCTTGCTCCTGCTGAACGGTCGAGGGCGCAGCTGCCTCATTGGGCGTCTGGGCAGGAACAGGCACCTTTTCCACAGAAGCCGATTGAGCCTCTGATTGCGCCGTGTCTGTCGCCACCGTCTGCGAGGAAGTGTTCAGTTGTGCTGGAGGCGCCGATTCTGGTCTCGAAGGTGCTGCCTGTCTCGGGCTTGGAGTGTTGGATACTCTCGCTAGCCGTCGCAGTAAATCCTGCGAATCTTCTCTTCGGCTCGGTATGCGTCTCGGGGGGACAACCTGAGGCGTGGCAACTACGTCGCGATCTACTGTAGCTATGCTCTCAACGCTCCTGTACATAGCCACGGGCGAGTCTTGGTTGCCGATGCCCGTAACCGGCTGCGCCTTGCCAATGGACTGCCACGAGTGGGTTCGCGCACGCAGTCTCCTCTTGGGCGACTGAGAGGGTTGAGAGGGCTGCGTCGCCTGCTCCCTGACGCTCTCGGCCTCCCTCTGCCGTATATCGTCCAGCACCGTGTTTCGTGGTATGTAGGGCGTGGATGCGATCATGGAGGCTTCGTTGAGCTCGAAGGTGAGGTCCCACTCTTGCGACTCGTCGTTGCGTGGGGTGCCCTTGTGCGAGAGGGGGCTGTCTGGCACGGAGCGGTGTGGCAGGCTGGCGTCTTGCTGGTCAAAGTGATCGTGGATGCTGTCGTCGGCCGGGACTGGCGTCTGTGGTTGCTGCTGCCCTTGTTCCTCTTCATAAGTGATGGTCCGCATCCAGCTCCTGTTGGTCCGGCCTTTCCTCCCCCATGTCGCTGGCGCACGTAGAGCCGGATCGCTCCTCGTGCTCCCGCTGCTGCTCGGCGGACTCTGGAATTTGACCTGCGCATCCGCTCCAGCAGCTGCCGCGCTGTTCCTTTCCAGGTTGTCCAGCGTCAGTCCGACACGGGGATGGGTCCGCGCCTTCTTGAAAGCCTGAGGTCTGCCCCCCAGCGCCTGGTTCAGCCGCCGCTCGTCGCGTGCATTCTGGATCATGCGCTTCTCGAATTCGTCCTCGGCATCGTCTTCGAGCTCGCTCAGCGCAGAGCCGACGGAAGCAGCGTCCTGCGTGTCTTCCTGGCCGTATCCCTGCGCCTCCATGGCTGCGGCTCCATTGGCGCTTCTGGTGGTGACGGGCCGTTGGAGGTGGGCGTAGCGTGTGTTGACGACGTTGGCCGACGGCGGGGGAAGTGCTTGGAGGGGCTGGCGCGTTGTCATTTCCGTGCCTCGCTGCCGTCGTGATAGAGCATAGTAGTCTGTTCGGCGTCGAGTCGGAATATATGCGGGGCTGTTCTATGTTCTGACGTGGTCGCAGAGGTTGGCGCATTAGCTTGTGCAGTTGTTGTCATCCGACGCGTCGTGACTTTCACTGGGAACGTGCGCCACGAGAGATCGCCGCAGGGATCCTCGCTCCGAATCGTCTATCGCAAGCCTCACATGCAACCTTCACACTGACATGCCCTGCTACCGCATCGTCATCACAAAAGTCATTCAACATTAAATTTCGTATCATCATGCAAGCCTCATGGCTCTTGGTCGTCGATGGCTTTGAGCCTCCTCCTTACCATTTCTATATCAGTATTGCCCTGTTCATCCCTCCATGCCCGCAGTACTTCCTCACGCATGACCCTTCGCGGCGCTCTTTTGCCTGTGAACAGCTCGAATTGGGCAAAGGCTTGTTCCGGGATAAAGTCCAGGCCATCCATATATGTCCACAGCTTCTTCGGGCAGTCCTGTACTTGCTGCGACAAGGGCGTGTTTAGTGTCTTGTACGCGGTTTCCATCACCACACCACCTGTAGGGCTCTGAATCCACTGCCGTGGAAGCGTAAATTGAGCTGCAGGACCTCCATCTATCGGATCAGTGGGGATACACGAAACGATTATGGTAGGATCCCGGAGGTGCTCTGGCCATGCCTCGTCGCGCGATCTCAATATCGTCAGATTTGGCCGCTTCTGGCGCAACATGGCTGACGCCGTAGTATTATCTGCCGAACTCGAGGTAAGGCGGGAGAAATGCGCGACAAGACTCTCGGCTCTTTCGTACGTCCTGTTGAAGATCACAATGTTCATCACCCCCAGTTGCAACAGCGCATAGACAGCTGCCCTCGCCATACCGCCAGCTCCGATAATTAGTCCGCATGTCGACGGACGCACTGCATTAGCCGGAGAAAGACCTCGCCGCACGCAAGACCGAATTCCGATCCACTCCGTGTTGTCTCCATACAGAGCTTGAACCGGACCAGACTGGTTGCGCTCATGGAAGAGTTCGAGGTCATTGGGAATGCTTCCGTCTTCGTTTCTTCGACGTACGGGTATCACAGTATTAACAGCCCCAATCGCTCGCGCGTGTTGGCTCAGCGAATCTACCAACGCCATCACCTCCATCTTGAAGGGCTGTATAACAATAGAGCCACCAAAGTTTGGTTTGCGTACTAGCTCTTGGAGTTTGTTCACAGATGGGCTCTCGATGCGACTGAAAGTGTGAGGCATGCCGCACGCGCCGTACGCTACATTATGCATCGCTGGTGAAACGCTGTATCCTAGGCGTACGCCAATGATGTACATTTGCATTGGATCAAATGTAAATGAGCTGTAAAGGGCTTGTGTTACTTCTCTGGCAGTGAGCCAGGAGTCGTAAGGATATTGTGCTGTTGACGCCATCTGGTTGGTCTTCTCTCTTTTCGAGGCAGCAACAACAGGCGTGAGATATTTGTTGAAACATGTCGAGCGGCGACCAGCTCGCCCTGTGTTGTAGCAAATCACTGGCACTTGTGCCTCGTGCGTTTCCATCCGACTACTGAAGCTGCGAACCGAAACATCGTCGTCGATGGAAGATGCTGGGCGAGTGAGTCGTACGACAGAGCAACCTAAATGCACTGCCTTTTCGTACTGTGTTACCCAGAAATGATCATCCCATGGTTTGTCGGCATGCAGATGTCCGATGATCTTGGTGGTACCACGACTGTTTATCACATCGGCAAGTGCAGCAGCATCTAGCGACAGGTCGATAGATGCGTACTCAGGTACCAATCGTAACCCATGGTGTACGTGTTCCAGGTAGATAGTCCTGCTACCGTCAGAGGTCGAAGTAGGTAGCACATGATATATGACGGGAACTACGGTGCTTCTTCGAACTTTGGATACACAAGCGCTAACGTCATCCATGAGATTGGTCATAGGGCGTTGTTGACTCAGATCAAGGATGATTTCAAAGGCGTCTGCTCCAACCTCAAGGCTTTGGATATCGGCATCTTCAGCCAATATGTCATCCACAGATACTTGAACTGCACAAGTATATCTACGGAGCTCGGTCGCAACGTCCGAAAGCGGATAACCGGGCTCTAACGGTGGAATGGATGCTCCAACCGACTCGTGCGGAAGCTCCGGAGTCGTTATAAGTGACAAGTACTTGAGGAAGGTCCTCTGCGCTCTCTTCAATGTGAGAAACGCCGGAGCCACCGGCTGATCATTCGACGTGTTGTTGTTTGGTGATTTGACCTCGGAGATGTTGTAGAACTCGTAATTAGAGCAACGCCGAAGCATGGGGGCGGTAAAGGCGAGCATGTCGTTGAGTCTTTGCATGTCAAGTCCTCCCAAGTAACTATGCAGACTGGCAAGGTCGCGCAGGACATGGACTACTGGGTGCGTTCGACCAAAGTCTTGTAGTAAGACTTGTCCATTTCTTTCCAGGGAAACGCCGTTGCATACCAGTATCGCACCGTGATCATGTTCAAGGAGGAGAGTTCTCAGCAGCTCTTCCTGTCGCAGATTGTAGTTGGCCGCACCGAACTGCTTGCGGTATTTGGCGGTGGAAAACCCCGTCGTTTCTTGAAACACATCGTCAACGTCGATGACGCGCCGTCGGCACGCCATCGAGGCAATGACGGCCAAGGTAGACTTGCCAGTCCCTGGCATGCCAAGGAGCACAATCGAGGCATCGGCCTTGAATGCACGGCGAAGATAGCTTGCAGGAGAGACGGGCGTTGGGGTAGCGAGAGAGGTGGAACGGGTACTAGATGCTGTCGAGGCTGTCGTTGGTCAGTATTCGGCCGAACAAGGTACTGGGCTTGTTCCTACCCATATCGTCTTCGCTAATCTTCCGCCTTTGACGGGGTCCAGTAGTCCTGGATGTCGTGGCTTGCTCTGGGATTGAGCTGTGGTGCCGGCGGTAGAAGTCACTGGTGGCTCCATCGTCCTCGCCCAGAGTCGCAAAGACGCGCTTCCCCACGGCCATAGAACCCATGGTCGAGACTTCCATGGGTACGTAAGTTGTAGTTCCAATGGTGTTTGATCTTGACACTAGAAGTCGGGATATTGAGCCTGTATCAAAGCTCCTGTACTGCAGAGGGCGAGAGGTGAGGTGCGTAAACTGCGGAGCCGGGTGTGTCTGCGACCTCTATGGATATGCATGGTAAGGTCGTAGACAGACAGTGACAATCAATCAGCCAGGAGCGTACGGGAAAAAGCTGGAAGAGTTGCGACAATCGTGTTTACGCGACGCCATGTCGCGATGGTGGTTGAGTGCTGACGAATGATGGTTGTGATGAGATGAGCAACCGCACAGTGCAAGTTCCGGATAAGCCTTCTTCCCCATCTTTGGCGCCTTTCCGACTTCGCCTGGACGCACGACAGCTTTGCACTCCTTTACAAGCCTCAAAGACCTACGGGAATCCTATCTGCGGGCCAATTGTCGCTTCTAGATGATACATTTCCAGCCCTGCAGCTGCTAAGCCCCGCGGCGCTGGTGAACGGATCAAACGGTGGGTTCGCGGTGCCTATTACCGATCTTTGCCGTGTTTACTCATTATATAGCAGAAAACAAATACGCGAACCATGCAGAGACGTCATTGGCAATCTTGTCATCCGAGATTAGTTTCGGTACTTGCTTACTTGCCGCCCTTTCGTCTGAATCAGGCTCATGCCTGCCCAAGCTCAGGCAAAGCGTCGTTCCGCACCTCAACCGGAAGAGAAGCCTGCTAAACGGACTCGAGTCTCACGAGCATGTGACCAATGCCGTGTCGCTCGTGAGAAGTGCGACGGAGTACAACCAACGTGCTCTACCTGCTCAGGAACGTCAAGAGAATGCTCTTACACAGCCAACCCTAAGAAAAGGGGCATTCAGCCTGGCTACATTCGCACCCTTGAGTTAGCACTTGCGTACCTGTTTCAGCAAAATCCCGAAAACGAAACTGCCCTCAATGAGAAGCTAGCGCAGGGAGGACCGTCTTCGCTACTGCTGGGTCGTGGCGACTCAAAAGAGTCGAACAAACTTCACAGAAGATGGCGGAAAGCAAAATTCTACACCGACGTTGACAGGCTGTTATCTGGAGGAGAAACTTCGCGTCATGAACAGACGGCGGCAGCTTCACCTCATACTAGTGATGAGGGTTCTGGGGTAGAGGAGGCTTTCGCTGCACATGCTAGCCGTACACAGGATCACGTTGGCTACCCACAGGACGATATAGAGTCTCCAAGTCTTGGTCAGCTTGTAGGAGCACCGCCTGGACCACTAGTAGAGGAGACTATCTCAACAACCATGCCGCCAGACAGCTGGAAGCTCTTGGAGGTCTACTTCGCCAATATTCAATCCTGGCTTCCAATCTGCGAGAAGCACGACATCCTGAAGACCGCCTACGACTACCCTACACAAGGACTCTCCAGCAAATCCAACCGGCCCGATTCGGGCTTGTATGCCGAGTTGTGGAGTGTTTTGGCGGTAGCCTCACTATACGGAGTAAGCACAACGAATCACGATCCGCTAAATTCTTCGTCAGCAAGGCCTGTTAAGCTGTATGAGAGTGCTAAATCCCTGGTACCAAACGAACTGGATCGTTTCGACATGGGTTGCATCAAGGCGCTTCTCAATTTGGTCGTGTTCAACATGGCGCGAGGGCAGAGTGGAGAAGCATGGCTGCTTGTTGGATGTGCTTCGAGGGTTTTGGAGAGCGTGAACCAACTAACACTTATGGGCAATCCCAGGCACAAGCATGTTTATTATGGCTGTTTCTTACTCGACAGCATGCTAGCTCTCCAGCTCAAACGGCGTCCACATTTTCGAAGGAGCGATTTGGAACATCTCGGAACGATTGACGAAGACGGCCTGGAAGAGTGGCAGCCTTGGTCTGGCTTTCTCGACCCCTCACATGCAGGAAGAAGAGCGCCGTTGCTCTCACTCAGCATTTTCAACAGTGTTATTGAACTTGTTGATCTACTCATCAGTATCGAGCAGCCATCTACAAGGCACATTCACAAGGACGCTGTCGAGTGTCTTGAACGGTGGAGGGCGATGCTTCCCACAAAATTAGCTCACATATGCACCGACAACGGTTTCTCCGTCCTTACTCCACCGGCTGCCCTGCTCTTGGCGACATACCATTACGCCTCATTCGCTTGCAGTCCGTCCGATGCAAGCTTCCACCGGTTATTGGATGTCTTGGATCGATGTTTCGAGCATCCAACTTCCCAATGCCTGCCACCAACAATCCGATGTCTACTAGACGTTGCGAACAGGCAGGCTGCGCGACTTGTTCTGCATGACGTAAATCGCATGCGCCTGGAAAGACTTCGGGAGAGAAACATAGTTGACTTCAATGCACAACACCAGACACAAGTGCTCGAGAGCACAGTCATGCCTCTCAGACAGCATACAACTGATGTGCAGACGTCATCTGCAGCTTCATTGCAGACTCTGTTTTCGGACACATATCCTATAGCTCAGCCAGCGGCACCCCCTCACCATGCCTTCTTTCCCGGTCCTAGTCACTCGCAAATCGACCCTCGGTGTCCAGAACCCACCAGCGATTTAGAAAGCTTCTTCGACGAACTGGCTTCGCTAGACAGCGCAACTAGATCGGATACCCGACCGCAGTTTATGCAAAATCTAGGTTTCGGTCCAGACGCAAGCATGGCTGATTTGTTCAGCGAATATATACCTATGCAGTCGTCGAGTTTTATCACACGAGACGAGTCTGCGCCTGCCAATCTAGATCAATACAACTTCTACGATGCGAGTTGACCTGGAACCAAGGCACGAGGATGGTGCTTAGACTTACCCATACGTCGGTCCTTCGCCTTCTACCGCTCATCTTTGAGCTCTTGAACAGATGGATGACGTGCAGCAACATGCATGTAACATACGCTCTACGATCAATAGATAGCGATGTAGGACCGGATTTATTACTTCCGAGCTCTACGTAAGGCGCTCTTCCCGGAGAAGCTTCGCAATATTCCTTCACGCCAAAGATGCGATGATAGCATATAACGTGCGTCACCGGTGAGATGACTTTGGGGCGTTTTGAAAAGCCTTGATTGGGCACTGTATATTACCATACAGTAAAGGCCGAGGTGCAATGCTAGAAAGCAGCTAATGAGCGGTAATACTTCACATCTTTCCAGACTTCGTACGGCGAGAAGCGACCTGGTTTTACTTCTAGGATGGTTGGTTGGGAGCCAGGATTGCTTTATAAATCTAGGAAGGGATGGTCAGAACGAAGGCCAAGAACAATCGTTTTTTCCATATGGGCATTTCCAGATCTCCGCCGGTCCGTAACATTGCAAAGGTCAGAATTGACAGCAGGAGAACTTAGGAGTGGAACGAGAACCTTAGGGTTGAGAATCCGATGTACAAGATAAGTCGCCATTGCCTAGGCTATGGCATGATGCTCAAGAAGAGCGGAGCATTATCCTACATTAGTGTAATGTTGACAAAGCCCACACGCGATTCATGAAAAAAGGCCTCAACCGGTACAACTCAGTCGGCATACATATTGCACTAGACACCAGGTCTAATTGGAAAAATTCTATAAATCACCTTGTCCCGAAGTAAGGCTTCCTGGCAGCACAGTCCACGATGCCTAGAAAAAGTGGTACGGAGGTCCGCGCCGTAAGCTTATGCGAGTCAACCTACCAGAGCAGGGTCAGAACTATACAAACCTGAAAGGGTACCTGAGTCTAGTGACAGCCTTGTTGGTGCTCGATGTTCAGGGCAAATGGTACAGGGGTGTGTGTAGACGAGTACGGAGTCGCTTAAGAAGGAGCGATGGCATTGGCCCGTTGCGTTCCTGGAGCGCTTGTGGCAGTGTTGTCTGCCGTGTTCGGGTAAAATACATGTTTCGGGCTTGGAGCAGGATGGCCGGCGAAAAGCTGCCGTGATCTCTTTGTTGTTGTTGATATAGTCGGGTTAATGTCGGGTTGATTAGAAATGGTTTTCTAGTAGCTAGATGGAAAATTCAAGCAACGAGCAAGTAAGCACTTTCGTGGGTGATGTCGTCATGTACCATTGTGAATATTCTTAGTGAAACCTTGGAACACAACAGCTTCTTGGCTTCAGTCTTGAACGTCGTGTAGGCGGGACAAGTCATACTGTTCACGCGTGATGCTTGTTAGAGGATGCGACTATTCTGTCGGTACCAGCCCTAATGTCTTCGACAAAGACAACATCCAAGGCTGTGTCGAAAAAGACGCGCAATGCTCCATCAGCCACATCGCTCCAGCTCGATCTTCTGCAGCAATGTTCGATGCACGCATCGTATGTGCCCAAGAAACGGAGTTTAGGTACGCGCCCAAGACCTTCGAGACGAGCTCGATTGGGTGATGGTGTCGTCTGCCAAGGTACTAGTGCTGCTTACCCCACACATTGTCGGATCGACCGGCGCAGGTGCTTGTTGTACTTCACTTCAGCCCTGTGTCCTGGGTTCAGACAACGCTGACCTTGTCAATTGAACTCTGACAGACAAACTATAGATTCTGGCCAGGAAGCCTCAAGCACTACCAAGAGAATCTGCCACTACAGATGACACCGTTGGCAGGAGATCAAAGAGCAAGAGCTGGATATACTTCAGAAACAAATATCCATGGGTGATCAACAGCCCCAATGCCGGCATGCCATGCCATGCCACATGAGATGCATGCGGAGAATGCTAGCCAAATTCGATCACGATACATTGGTCGCATCTACAGCTTCAGCTGTGTCATAGCTCCACTTGCGCGATCACTTGGCAAACTCTTTCCAGTTGTCACTGGGCAACGCTGAGAGCTACAAGCTTCGCCCTGGACGACCGTGCTACGAATAGACCCCTTATT